TTCAGAAAAGAATATCTGATTAGTAATTCAAAATTTCTTCCAAAATTTATAGTATGAAGTAGATAAACCCAACCCACCTACTCACTCAACCGATCGGATAGAAGGGTAGCGTACATGTGTGTATGGTTTGTAGGACACTTAGGTTCTCCCTCTTCTACAAAAGTAGGTAAACCGAAGGATTACACTCTTTGAAGAGAGAGATCTATCTTTAGTTCTGTACACACCCTTCGCAAGACTTTACTCACCAAAGAATCAAAGATGAAGAAGATGAAATTAGCTATTGCAGCTTTTATTAAAACATATTTTATAATTTATATGTACTCTTCCTTCAAAGTAGGGATGACAATTTCGACTTGACCCGTTTATCCGACCTGTTTGCCTTGTTTCGGGGCGGGATGACATGGATACTCTCATCTCCCGACCTGTCCTGGCCCGCCCCATTCTCGACTCGTTCTTACATAAATTACAGGTAATCTTAGTTAAATTACTAGGCATATTCCTTTTATTACATCATATTTTAGCTACAATAAAGTTTTAAATTAGTGTTTCTTCAATAATTGAGCTACATTTATCATATTATGGTTTGTTTCTTGGTCTTATAATGGAAATAACGAATATTTCTAATAATTTTTATATAAATTACATACTCATTGAGTCGACCTGCTCCAACCCGCATCCCATGATAAATTACCCGACTTATTACATAACAGGGATAAGTATTGAGATACCCGACCAAACCTGGCTCATTGTCATTCCTACGGATCTCTGCCACTGACGTGAGATTACAACTTCATAAGTCACGACAGGTCTTGGTATCAATGGATTGTGAAGGGTAGATTTTTTGTTTGTCTTTTACCCTTTGGTTGAAAAGGAACGTAACAGTTTTCATTGATGCCGTCTAGGGCTTTGTTTGTCACCTCTTCTGATCTCTCTCTTTCCGGCTACAAAACGATCAAACTGCCGAAAACAATTCCAAGTAACATAAGACCCACTACTGCGAACCAAAAACACACATGCACAAAGCCCTACGTATCCAAAATAGAACGACGACGGCTGCGCCAATCTTTAGTAACCACATATATATATAATGACGAGGGAGCAGCTGGTACTACTAGCGACGGTCGCTTTGGCGACGGCGGTTCTGATACAAGACTCTGCAGCATGTTTCGGGGTGTCGATTGATTCACGTTGCCAACAAGTTAAGCTGCTACTACTAGCGACCGCATGTATCGATTTAGCATTGTAAATAAGCTATGTATGTGGGTGTGTTTCATCCTCTCGCAAGATTTTGACATTTTACACCTCTCTTCTTAATTTTAGTTTATAATTTTATACCTATTTGTATGTTTCATTATCATTTGATCAAGCAAATCTAATCAATTAGCTTCCATTACTTCTTCTGAGTGGGCTATTTTCCATCGATGATGGAAGTCTATTAATCGTCGATTTGGGCGAATTTCTTTCGGGTCGAGTTTTGGCAAATTCCAATAGGGTATTCATCACAGATTTCGGGCGATTTTTTGGAATAGTCATTTTCCTTGGATTTTGAAATGTTTAAATCACGAATTCGGTCTATAAGACTATTCTCCACCGATGAGTAAGTCAATTTATCACCCATTTGGGTGGTTTTTTTCAAAGGGCATTTTCGAAAAACATTTATATCTTTTTTCTAAAAGTCATTTTCCTAGGATTTTGAAGGCTACATATCACGATTTCTCCTTGAGTCTATTGGTGGCGACAAACTGCAAGTGGACAGTGTCGTACAAGTAATAAAGTGTAAGTAAAAGTATCATTCTCTAGGGGATTTGTGAAATTCAAAAATTAACAAATTTAGTTCAAGAAACTATAAGAATTGCAAAGGTTGTAATCAAGTGAATATTTGCAAAGATCACACAAATTAAGTAACTCGATAATTCAACTATTTTGGAGAAATTGATATTGGAGAGTTCTGAGGGAAACACAAGATTTTACTATGTTACCTCTGTAAATTTAATTGCCCTTGTCAATCAATTTAATCCATATTTCTACAGTCGGGATACCTCTAAATTGATAGCTATCTCTATTGAGAATTACCACGTACTAACTAATTGAGACAATTTCTACTATCGAAGTTAACTGAATTAATTAATTAATTAGCCTTAAGACCGATATTTCTAAAATGACTGCATTTTTTCCGAAAGGCCATTTTCATTTGATTGTGAAAGCTACAGATCTTCGATTTGTCTAAGACTATTCTTCACCGACGATTAAACCTATTAAACACCGACTCAGCTTTTTACCGGGTCCATTTTTGTCAGATTTCAGAGGTACTGTCACATATTCAGACGATTTTATCAAAAAACCATTTTCCTTGGATTTTGAAGACAACAGATCACGAATTTAGTATGAGACTATTCTCCATCGATGATGAAGTCTATTAATCGCAAATTTGGGTATAATTTTTACGGAAGGCATTTTCGTAATTTATTGGGCGATTTTTTTTCTAAATGTCCTTTTCCTTGTATTTTGCAGATCACGGATTCGGTCTGAGGTTATTCTTAACCCATGATTAAGTCTATTAAGCACCAGTTTAGGCGGGTTCTTTTCACGGCCATTTTTTGCAAATTTCAAAGGGGTACCATCACAGATTTCGGACGATTTTTTTGAAATGCCATATTCCTTGGATGTTGAAGGCTGTAGATCACGGATTCGGTCTAAGATTATTCTCCACCAATGAAGAAGTCAAATGACCGCCGATATGAGAGGATTGTTTTCGGATGACATTTTCGTAATTTTTTGGGTGATTTTTTTTCAAAAAGCCATTTTCCTCAAATTTTGAAAGCTACCGATCGATCACGGATTCGGCCTGAATCTATTGTTCATCGATGATCAAGTCTATTCAGCACCTATTTAAACGGATTTTTCGGGGTCCGTTTTTTACGGATTCCAAACAGGTACCATAAAAAATTGTAGACAGATTTTTTCGAAATGTCATTTATTACAAATTTTATACGTACCCTCCCTTCAACGTGGCTCCGCCACTAAACATGAGATCATAATTCATAACTACTTTAAGTCACGACAGGTCTTGGTATCAATAAGTTGTGAAACTGTACCTTTTTTTTTTTTTTTTTTTTTGCTTGTCTTTTACCCTTTGGCTGAAATGGAACTTAAACAGTTTTCATTACCGTCGTCTAGCTAGGGCTTTCGTTTGTCACCGATCTTCTGATCTAAACGATAAATTAAAGCTGCCGAAAACAATCCTGTGAAGCTCTACATCCAAGCAGCATAAGAACCCACAACTACCAACCAAACACACATGCAGATCAGCCGTACGTATCCAGAAGCCTTATAACCACCACCGATCAACGCAGTAATCACTATAAAAGCACGACCGCGCCAATCAATAGTAACCAATGAACCAGGATATAATGACGAGGGAGCAGCTAGCTATAGTGACCAGAACCAGAGCAGTACTATTAGCGGCGGTCGTTTTAGCGACGGTTATGATACAAGATTCTGCAGCTGTTACGCAGCTGACGGTTAGCGTTGCCAACAAGTTGAGCAGCAAGAAGGCGGTGATAGTGCACTGTCAATCCGCCGACGACGACCTCCACGGTCACGCCGTCGTCGCCGATTCTCCTTACAGTTGGAGCTTCGGGGCGAGCATTGGTGCAGGGACGGTTTTCTGGTGCCGGCTGGCGTTTCAAGACAAGCGTCTTGGCTTCACGGCGTATAACGTAAATGATAGGTACTACGTTACGGACCACGAAGTGTACGATGATGGGGTTTATGGGAACTACGTTGGTACTGCGAAACGAATTCAAATCGCTGAATGGTACTGAGGTTGTACCGGAAAAATCAGCGGTATAACGTATTTTAATTTTGTGTTGAGACTGTTGTTTGTTCTTTGGTACAACCGTTTTCATACCGTTAAAAACCACTGTTTACCGGTTTTTGACTCTGGTAGGCGAGGTTGTTAATTTCGGTCGAATCACTGGTACGGTTCCGGTGTGTTTTATCCCACGTAACTCTTAGCTAGGAAGTTGAGCTTATGTGATTTTAATCCATGATGAGAAAGCATATATAAGCTATATATGTGGGCGTGTTTAAATTTGTTTTTGATTTTGCTGTGTAGTCTTAGTAAATGTATGATGAGGTGTTCTAGGAGCTCAAAATGTATGGTTATTAACCTGATTCAAAAAGGCACACTTAATCTTACGATTAGGCCGGTTCAGTCCGTCTAGTTGATTTCGTCTTCTTTTTGTTTTTTTTCTTCTCCCCTTTGTTTTTCGTTTTTGTTTCAGAGTTGTATGTTTTATTTCTTTCTTCTCTTGGTTCTGTACTCTGTGAGGAGACGAGTTCAGTTCTCCTGAGCCTCTGTTTCTCCTTTCATTTGTATTTCTTTCTCTTTTTGCTTTTATTAATATATTCGTCATTATAAAAAAAACATTACGCTTAGGCACGCCTAGGCGCAAGGCAATGACAAAACGCCTCGCTTAGGGGTTTCACACCTAATTAGATGCTGGAACACATCAATGGAGTAACGCGACATATAATTCTCTCCTAAACATTACTAAATGGAGCTGGAAAGTCAATATTAAAGGAGAAAATTAACGTCAACTATGAAATCAATTTTCTTTATCAATATTTTCAATAGCTCAAGAACTTTATGAGTTATTGAGATATGATTCTATGAATTCGTGAGCTATGTTATTGTCATTAAGTGTTGAGTAATTAGTTATTAATCATTTAACTGAAGTGAGGAAGTGTTGTAGATTATTATTTCATTCATCATGTAGTGCGAACAACAATTTTTCTTTCAACGATAGACACGCTTAGTCTACGCCTAAACAAGTTAGGCGCTAGACGAAACCTCAACTCTCGCCTTACGCCTAGCGCTTTTTTGAACCTTGGTTATTAATACGTTTCTCGCTCCACAATATATCAAGCGAAGTGTGGAGCAGATTATTCCACATTCATTACAAGAGCAATGTTTATTGGCGACGACAATTAGAAAGTGGCAAAGTAAAGTAGACAAGTGGTGGCTAAAGGTTTTACTATACCAGGGTATCATACCTCTCAGAAATTCACGGCGACCATTTTGTTCCCAAATAATCACCAAATGCAACCAGTGGGAGCGGCGGCAGAAAATAGTCCTTTGGCGACCATTTACAAAGTTGTTTTCTTTTTTTTTTTACTTTCGGAACCACAAGATGGTTGCCAAAGAAATGCAGAAAATTTCAGCGACCATTACTCGCCTGGGTTTCCAGAGACCAGAGCCCAGAGGGCATCATTCAGTAACTATGCAGTAGTGTTTGATACACAACCAAAATGGTACTATCTTTCCCAACAAGGAAATGGGTTAAACCTTGAAGGCTTGAACTGATCATGAAGAGAGGGAACCACCATAGCAACCATTTTTTTTCTCTTTTGGATTGTCGAAAACTGAAGTCCAAGGTAAAACAAGAAGCTCTAAATTAAAGGGGAACAGTACTTCAAATGCAGGCACCAGATTTACACAGCAGGTACTACAGATGTTTGGTCAAAGAACACGAAAAACAGGGGCATGTATAGGATTCAGCTAATTACACCAAACCACTTCTTTAAAGTAGTTTAAACAAACGACACATCAGTATGCCTCTTACTTTGTGGCCTGAGCAATGATGTTGCTTATGGAGCTTGCCTCCTCCTTCGCAACCTCTACCAGAGAGTCCTACAGCATGAGAAAACCATCATTGATCTCTCGGTCAATAACGAGAGAAACTACTGCTTTTGAGAGAAATGGAGATCATATGATACAAACCTGTGCAGAGATTAGCTTGGCGACTGTTTTCTTGCTTGATTCCTGGAGTTCGCCAGCGATTAGAAGCTCGTCCAATATGTAATAGGCCTGCGGTATCGCAAAATACAGAAGGTTTAGATAATCAACCCAATGGAAGTTATCCAAACACGTAGCCGGAAAAGAAATTATCTGAAACCTCGACTGTAAAGCAAGCAAGTGCATACCTTGTGGAAGTTAAAGATCAAATCCAGCTCACAGACCTGCAGAACACGAGTGATAAATGAAAAAGCAATTGCTGCAGAGTTCAACACAATTATAGAGGCTAGCATATCTGCACCACACACAAAAGTTAGAATAACAGTTAGAAGTTCACTCACACTGCCAAAGTATCTGTCCAAAATCTCGACGAAGTGGTGAATAACTTCAAGGGCCTCTAACTCGTTGTCCTCGTCATCGATGCACATGCAGAAGTAAAGGCTAGCATATCTGCACCACGACAAAGTTGATAAGCTTGAGATTGATAAACAAACACCCTGAAAAACGGAATTCAGGAGATGTTCGAATCATGAATTTATAACCAACCTTTTGTAAACAACTTTATATCCTTTCCAGTCAACAAAATTGCAGAGCTTGGGCCCTCGACTTAGAATCACCCCACTAAGCTCACGGATGGCCTTACAGTTCAGTTACCAAGGATATAAAGGAAAATCAATCAGGAAACATCATAAAAGAAAGCATAGACCAGGGACAATGTTTGCAGTTTACACATGAAATATCAACAGAATATGGTCTTCGAAACTACCTTGGATCTTTCTTTCTGTGTGTAAGTTGAATACCATTTTGTCAACCGGACTTTGCCTTGGCGACTAATAAGACACACAAAGTGAATCTGCGATGTAACAAGAAGAATCACACCGTTAAGGTCATAATGCCTTAATATGATAAGAATGTGTGGCTCTACGTATGGAGAATCCAAACCAGGTTAGCAAACTGGAATGCTCTAAATCACAGTCACTGGAAACATAACGCCTTAATGATACCAAGGACCAGTACTTCTACGCCTAGCCAGAATTCAAGAACAAACAAAACCATCAATTATATCTCTTACTTACAGATAGTGATATATAACCGAAAGCCCTGCAAGTGACTCCACCATCGAAAAACTACAAACTTTACCCGCAAACAATCACGCATCCTTTCTAGTAAAGCAAAGTTGCATAAACTAATGGTTTGATCAAAACTGTCAAAGATCCCTCATCCGTTCCCAATTCTACCACGAAGAATTCCATTCGCAAAACGAATTTCAAAGTAAGTCAGCTAGAAAAGGCATCCAGCTGATCACGAAATGCTCTAACCAGTCGAAGTTAGATTTGTCAACAGTCCGCAATCATACATCGCGATGCACAGAGTGACGATGCATGCGAAGCTTCACCCAAGCTTATATATACACCAAATGAAACACAACAAGATAAAGCACTGAAAACCAAACAAAAGAAAAACCATTAACAGAACAAAATTTCCAAAATCAAGTCAACTCGTTTTCAATCCACCAGAATTTCTCCTAGCAACCAAACCAGCAAAACGAAATCGAGAAATGAGAGGCCAATACTATCGAAATCCAGCAAATTCAAGCGAAACTCAATGAACCCGCTGCCAAATTTTCCGATTCGAATAAAATTCAGCGGGTTAAAGTTCAACAGATCTAAGCAAAGCTAAACGCAAAGAACAGAAGCTGGAAATCATCGAGAGAAACAGAAAGGCGCCGTCGCGTGTCCAAACTAAGTGAGAGCAAGAGTAAAGAGTTCAGAAGCGGCGAATTCTTACCATGATTGACGACGGAGCTGACTGTAAGCACCGGCGGTTCCTAGTTCGGGCGACGGGAGTCCAAGGGAAAGAATAATCCGTGCGGAGATCTCGGTTCTGTTCGGAGAAGAAAAGAAACAAGCGTTCGAAAGAAAAAGCCACCTGTTCTTCGAGCTGGTTGGGCCGTGTGTATTGAGTTTGGTCAGTGCTTGGACCCGAATCACGTGCATCGCGGATAAATTTAATAGCCCAACAAAAGCCCAATCTGGCCCACGCAAATGTGCCTCCTTGGTTAGGTATGGGTGGGAAATGAGCCGAGCCGAGTTTTGATCTCATCCTGATCAAGTTTATTAATAATCGAGTCGACTTTGAGCTCATCTTTTTTATTAGAATCTTAGTTTGTATTTGACTCGAGCTCGAGCTTTACACGAGTTCGGCTCATCAATTAGCTCGCGAGATCAGCTCGAACTAAGGTATCATATCATTTAATTTATAATTGTAATTATTCATATCATGTTATTCGATAGTAATTATTAATTAGTATCTAGATACATACTTTATCTTTTAAATTATAAAGGAGACATCTTTTTTCTCACATTCTTAAACATCATATGTGATGAGATATATACTCTAATAAGTTGATAGTTGAGATGTCCTGCTAATCATATTGTTGAGCTAGCTTACGAGTTGAGCTCAACAAACTACCGAATCGAGCTGACTCACGGACCTTATTAGTAAACGAGTAAAGTGTCGAATGCGTTTTTCCCAAATGGTTTGACTCATTTTCACCCACAATACTGCAATAGGTCCAAGCCGGCAGCAAAACAAGAGCCGCCCGACGTTGTTGCTATGAATTGGATTATCTGGTGTCCATATACAACCTTATTCTTCAAAGAAAATGCCGACGGAAACTTCAATGGATCACCATTTCGGCCTTTTCTTCTGAGCTGGTCCGATCGAGGAGATTCACTACCGTCACTTTCCGACGAAACTGACCCTCGTCGTCGTCAGTCCGGATTATAATTTCCGCCGTCAGGGGCCTGCGCAGAATTAGCGGGAATCCAAGATAATCCATAAAAATTAATCAAAATCCCAGTACTCAATTAATCCAATCCTAATCAATATCTGATTCTTCGAAAAAGCCATTTAATTCCCAATTATTTGGTCAGTTATGGAGATTAATCCTCGTCTCTGCTTCTTCTTCTCCTCCTCCTTCCTCAGCAGCTTCCTGCCCAACCCAAAAGACTTAATAATTATTCACACTGAAGGAATTTTCAAAGTCAGCACTTTGAATTCCGCCATGGAAACTCCTCACCAAGCTCGACATTGAACTCATAAACAACACTCCTCTCCCCCCAAAATCCCCTGTTTCCCACAAATCCCAATTTCACCGGAGATGGGTAAACCGATCATCGAAAACAGGGTACTGTACTACCCTGTAAAGCCTCTAGCTTTCTTCTCCGTAATCTTCATCCTCACCGTCTACCTCGTCCGCACCAGCATGATCACCACCACCGCCGTCCCTCTCCCTTCCTCCCCTTCCTCCGAGCCCCACCACCGCCGCCGCAGAATCATCAAGTCGTCGTCGTCGTCGTCCGACGAAGATTCCGGTCAATACCCAGAAACCTACCTAGTCCCTCCGGCGAACCTCACAACACAAGAGAGAATCCACTGGTTCAGATCCAACCTCCCTGCATTCCAGATCCTGAAATCCGACAACCTGACGAGCAGATTCCACAATCGAGCCCGCCGGTTCCTGCTCCGAAACCGGTGCGAGCTCCGGTTCTTCATGACGTGGATCTCCCCTGCCACTTCGTTCGGAAACAGAGAGTTTCTGGCAATGGAGTCCCTGTTCAAGTCGAATCCCGACGCGTGCCTCGTCCTCGTCTCGCGATCGCTGGATTCGCGAAGCGGCCACAGAATCCTGAAGCCGCTACTCGATCGCGGCTTCAGGGCTGCGGCATTCGCCCCCGATTTATCCAGCCTGCTCCGCGGCACGCCCGCGGAGCGGTGGTTCGAGGACCTGAAAACAGGGGAGAAGGATCCAGGGGAGATTCCCCTGCCTCAGAACCTCTCGAACCTCGTCCGGCTCGCCGTGCTGTACAAGTACGGCGGGGTCTACCTCGACACGGACTTCATCGTGATGAAGAGCTTCCGTGGGCTGCGAAACTCGATCGGCGCGCAGAGCGCCGATTCGACCGAGAAGTGGACCCGGTTAAACAATGCCGTCCTGGTTTTCGACAAGAGCCACCCTCTGCTTCTAGATTTCATGGCGGAGTTCGCTGCGACTTTCGATGGGAGCAGGTGGGGGCATAACGGTCCGTATCTCGTGTCGAGGGTTGTCGACAGGGTTGGAAATGGAAGCTCAGGGAGGAGGAATTTTACGATTATGCCGCCGATGGCGTTTTATCCGGCGTACTGGAGTAAGATCGGCGGGTACTTTAGGAAGCCGGCGACGAAGTCGGATTCGAGGTGGGTTTCGGCCAAGCTAATTCAGTTGAGTGGGAAGACATTTGCGGTTCATCTGTGGAATAAGGAGAGCAGGAATTTCAGGATTGAAGAAGGGAGCATCCTGTGGAGATTGATCTCCCGCCATTGTATCATTTGCCAAGGGATTTACCGATAGTAGAATCTCAGGTTAGCTTAACTGGGTAGGATTACATTTACAGGCCCATTTATCCATCCTCTGTTTTTCCAAAAAGTGAAAAATAGTTCATAACTTCATTCTCAATCTAGATTTCGGGAGATTAACATTTTTTTATGTTATTAGGCAGAGATTATCGTCTATCGTGTTGAAATTCTCTGATTACATTCATTTGACACAATTATTGTGTGGGAGCGTTGTAGGTCAATTTGGCACGTGTTGATATTATTATTCGCGTCAACACAAATAGTATGATTCCGGTTTCTAATATGATCAATTTTTTTTTGTTGGCGTTGATTAGGCAGAGATTATGATAAGATCATCCATCGTGTTGAAATTCTCTTATTACATTCATTTGACACGATTATTGTGTGACAGCTAACCTGGAGGACAATTTGGCACGTGTTGATAGTATCCGCGTCTGCGCGTCAACATAATATTATGATTCCGGTTTCTAATATGATAAAAAAAAAATTGTTGGCGTTGATTAGGCAGAAATTATGATAAGATCGTCTATCGTGTTGAATTCACTGGTTACATTCATCTGACACGATTATTGAGCATGAGGCTGGGAGCTAAGCTGGAGGGCGATTTGCCACGGTGCTGATATTATCCGCGTCAACATAATAGTATAATTCGGGTTCCTAATATGATCATGCCACGATCTTCATTTCACAAGATGGAATGTGTATGTCCTCTAAATCTCAAAATTCACATCTTAGAATTAATTCGAGAAAGGTTTTACACCCGCAAGTCGAAATCAATAGGGTACAAATTTCTCATACACACTCTACAATTGTGTAATGGTTCAGAAGATTTTGCCACAGATCAAAATCCTGAACCGTTTGAATCTCAGCCTCCACCTCCAGAAAGGAAACCTGGGCAGTTTCCTGAATGACTTTTTCCTACTCAACTTCCCTCTTCTACTTCTCCTTCTTCTAGTACTAGTAGTAGCCTTAACCCTCAATTGATCATCTTTGTAGCTACTAGAATCTGAGCAATGCATCCCAAATCCTCTGATGGATTCCCATGGATCCTCCTCTGCTTTCGAATCCTCTGCGTCGCTCCCCCACAGAGGGATCGTCTTCGTCGTGGAGGAACAGCTGTAGTCATGGAAATGTGCTGCTAGAGTTGTGTGCTCCATGCCGAACAATCTCCCCAGCGACGTGCTTCCGGTTTTCATCAGACCCAGCAAGCTGGTGCTGTTCTTGCTTTCCTGAGAAGACGAGGAGGACGAGGACGAGGAACGAGAAGCTTCAGTTGGGTTGGAAGAAGTGAGGGAAGAAGATGATGAAGTGGTGGAAGAGAGAAGGAGGGATTTCTGATGATGTAGCATTCTTCTGATCGTCTCTCTTTGTGCTTGTTTGTTGATCGGAAACCCATCTTCTGGTTCCTCCTCTGTTATTTCTGATATCGCCATTGATGGTCCTTTTTTTTGTTGGTGCTGTGAATTGAAATGAATTGGGAAGAGAGAGGATTGGATTAGAGATTGTAACGAGGAACCAATAGAAAAAAACTGAAACCCTGATGTAACCTGTCGAAAAGATCCAAACTTTTTTCTTCCCCATAAAGAAATCAGGGCGCCGGCAGCCGGCTATTGGGAACAAGATGACAAGAGGGAAGCCTTGTTCGTCTCTTTGCAGTTTTTGTTCCAATTAGTTTTGTTCGTTTATGACGAGAACACTTAGCAGAAACCAAGATAAATTCGTGTTAAGACGACAAGCAAGTCAAAGCCATGTAAGTGGTATTCTCTAATTTCTAAGATGACGAAATGAAGATTTGAACAAGTGACCTCTTTGATTGAAAGCCACGATCTTTATTAATGAGCTCTCTTGCTTAGAAGGTTTTTGGTTCAGTTTCGGGGGGACGACTACTGAGCCGAGCTTCTGTGGAGTCTAAAGATGATTCTGCTATGGTGCTCCACTTTCATTAACCAAACAACAAACAGTACTCTGGCATGAATTTTGATCGTTAACCATTGGAATGCGAGTCAAATATGGACGATATGTAGTTTGATCGAACTCAAGATTTGAAGTGCAAGTCTAAGTAGTCAAATACTAGACTCATATTTAATACGCGCGTACATAGGAGTTGTACAACAAGTATCCTTTAGTTTATAAATTTTACCCTTCATGAAAACAAACTAAATCAGAGGAAAAAAAGATTTGAAGATTCTCGATACATGACTCGAATTCAATACGTGCATAAAATTCGTACAACAAGTATCCTTTAGTTTATACTAACTAACCAATAACTTTTATTTTAGCAAATGCCATAATATTATTCTCTTTGTCGAGTCCAGTTATCTCCACGTGCTTTTTCGGTAACTAGTATACTTTTTCTTTGCTCTAAGGGCGTGCAACAGTTGGTTCATCCCTGACCATACTGATATTTGGAACATACCATATTCAACAGAATATAATGCCGATATCATCCTGGTCATCATGAATTTTATAAATACGAAAGAAAAATGAATCGAACTAATATCTGAATTAGACCAAATTAGACCGAATACAATACTGATTCATGTGTAGTCCTACACTGTGTTTCACTATTGAACCGCAGTTCTCATGAGTTGGTCTGGACCATACCGTTTCACATCCGCATTCCGCATTGGTGTTGCTAGTCCGGCTTATTTGGGCTTGAAACGCAAGCAAAAATTCAATCGCACATATAAAAAGCCTTATGGGCTCGTATGTGAAGGCCCATAACCGTTCTTCGTCTTCTTCTCTTCTTCTGTCTCGATATTTTCTCTGCAAACTTTAATTTTGATCCAGGAGAAGTCGGAATCCGCCATCGCCGATTCGTTCCTTCGCTACCACGATAACAAATTCCGTCGTTTTCCAGGTTCCGATTTCTCCCCTCAATCTCGCCTGATTCGAGTTTCTACTTCCCAACATGCACTCCAAATCGCGCCAGATTCTGCTCAGAACCCCAAATTCCCGCCGCCTCCAAACCCTAACCTTCGATCCATCTCAACCCCTATCCCTCCGCGACCTGAAGCTTTCCCTGATCCCCGATCATGGAAATCCAGACACTTTCTACTTCACCGCCAACGGGAAGCTCCTCGTCGACGATTCCATCCCTGTCGGCAGCCCCCAGGTCCCAGCTTTATCCACCCTCACCCTGCGCCACCGCCTCCGCGGCGGAGGCGGCGATGGAGGCGCGACGGGAGCCGAGTCCCGCGACTGCTACTTAAAAATGTACGCGGAGAAGAAGCCGGACAAAATCGACCCCAACGAGCAGCGGCTTTCCAAGTGGGTGAACTGTGCTCTCTCCTACGAGACTCTGCGGCAGCCTTGCGTGATGGATAGACTGGGAAATGTGTTCAACAAGGAAGCTTTGGTCGAGGCTCTGATAGGTAAGAAGCTCCCAAAGGCTTTTAATCACATCAGAGGTTTGAAAGATATGATAGATGTTAAGCTAGAGCCGATCCCCGGTGGGGAATCGAACAATGCGTGGTTTCAGTGCCCGATCACGGGGCTGGAGTTCAACGGGACGTACAAGTTCTTCGCTTTGAGGAAATGTGGGCATGTGCTGAGTGCCAAGGCTTTGAAGGAGGTGAAGTCGAAAGCTTGTCTGGTGTGTTACAGGGAGTTTGAGGAGCGCGATAAGGTTGTGATCAATGGGAGCGAGGAGGAAGTGGATGCTTTGAGGGAGAGGATGGAGGAAGAGAGGGCTAGAGTTGTGAAGGATAAGAAGCAGAGGAAGGAGAGGAGTGGAGATGTTGTTGCGGCTAAAGGCGTCGCTGATGGTGGTGAAGTGGAGGAGTCTGGGAAGAGGTTGAGTGGGAAGAAGCATGGGATTGTTGATGGTAAGGATGTGGAGAAGGTTGCTGCGAAAACGGAGAAGTTGAATGGGAAGATTGAGAGTGTTGGCAGCACTAACAACAAGAGGTTCAAGGCTGCTGCTGTTGCACCAGCTAACGCGACCAAGGAGGTTTATGCATCAATCTTTACATCGTCGAAGAAGAAGTCCGATTTCAGGGAGACGTACTCTTGTCGATCTCTACCTCTCGGTAGGAACTGATTTAGAGGTGGAATCGAAGCTATGTAATGGTGAAGCTTTTCTCGAATCTGATCGATTGTATGAATTTGATGTTGTTACGATGTGAAGAACTCCGGCTGATATCATGACGAATTGTATCATTGTGTCATGTTCAGGAGCTGGTACGTGATTTTGGCTCGTAAATGTTCAAGTGAAATGATTTCAGATGCTACCATTTCATGTTCAGGAAATAAGATGAAACTGAGGTTCTCAGACAGGAAGCTTACCCTGAAGTTGTTAATCATACATGGCAGTGAAACAATACGACGCAATGAAGCGAAACAAGCTTAACCTATAGTGAATTTACTACTTCCTCTTTGTTCTTTACCATCGATGATAATGTTACAAACTCGAGGTACAAACCTACCCAGAAGGGTATTGAATTCACTAGTAACCTCTATATCATGTTCTCCAGCATAGACAATGTTGCGAATCCGGCATTTCCACCGGCTCTGCTTTCATATATGGTCAGAGGAGGCGCTGGGAGCCCCGACGGCCAAAAAATTCGCCCCATCAATGGAGCCTTTCGCCTGTTGTCCCGGTGCAACGAAGTAACTCGTTGATTGATTCTTCATTTCAAATGACAACTGTGATGTAGGTAGCAGTTTGCTGATTCATTGCACGACTGTAGTTCGTTTCTCCAACAGTGCTTCCAAAAATGGCCCGCATAGTAGAGTAAGTGGTGGAAGATTGTGTGATGGTCCGCTGAAGATTGTCTCCCAGGGCCTCTCGGATGGGAAAGATGGGACTGTCCACGGAGTTTGTTTTCTGGACGGAATTGGCGGAAGAAGCTCGCCGTAGAGAGATGCATAACCAAAATTTCCTGGAAAAGCATGAGCAGAAGGCACCTGGTTAGATTCCTTACAAGTTACAAGCTGGTATGGGATTATAGACTCGGGTCGAATAGATAGGTCTCAGAATTAATTGAAGCTTACCAGCTTCTTCGATGCTGTTTTCACTCCTCCACCGAGTTACGTTTAGTTCATCTGATTCCTTCCCATATGGATCAAACAGTACATACTCGTGATCGGCATTCATGTATGCAAGCAGTGTTTGAGCAGCCTGTTGCTGGTCGGATGCGTTCTCTTGATCGGAAGACTGGTTTCTGATGAACGCTAGTGCCCCGCCTCTGGCCTGGTTTACGAATCAACGAGGATCAAAATATCAGAGCAAGTAGATATTCTCGATGCAAGGAGAACTAACAATATAAATGACTGTAGACTATTTATCCAACATTCAAGAGTTGATGGGGAAGCGGGTAAAGAAACTACCTTCTTGACTGACCATACAGCCACAGGATTTGGTTCTGCAGAATCGAATAAGAGGATCAACCCATCTACTGTTTTATCCGATTTTTCATTAGAGTCGTAGATTCCAGCTGATTCCGAAGGGAGGATGAGAGCAGCAAAAGAGGAACTATTCGGAGAACTGGCTATAGCTGCACCATGAGTATACGTGTTAATTAAGTACTAGCATTGATGACTAAACGTCGATCTTTTAGCAGTCGATACAATTTTAGTGGTCAGCTTCAGAAGATCAAGCATTTATTACCTTCTACGTGAAGCCTGTAAGACCAACATGTAGAGAGATTCAACAGACTCCACACTGCAAGTTGCGGCTTTAGACCCCAAGATGCTGAAACAAGATGGTCCGAGTTCCCCACAAATGAGAGGGTCACGATTGGCTGTCAAAATAAGTTCCATACATATAGTCAGCAGATAAGCTACAAGACATGGGAAGAAGGAACAAAGAGAGGGACGCGCAGACGCAGCAGCCCTCAAATGACATTGATGGTATCAATAAGAAGCCAGCTGTGAAAGACATGCTAGAACTACAAGCTCAATCATAGCTAGCAGGTCTCTGCCTCACGGAAGAGAGAGCACAATATTTTTACCCACTGATCACTGGAGAGTGGAGAGAAGTTCAACGCCAAATTTGAAATTTCTTCCTTAGTTCATAATATAGGTCATAGGATATTGGAACACTGAAGTCAGAAATAAATAGGATGGTAGAGAAATTACCGTAATAGCTTCTCCAATTACAGCCAGAAGAAGGTTCTTATCAGGGTCCCACAACGTAATAACAGTTTCAGCTGCAACAGCAAGGACAGAACCATCAGGGGAGAAAGCAGCTGCTGTCATTGGCTTTTTTCTGAAAAGTATCATCGAATATGAGAATCAATGTAAAGTTTAATTGAAAACGCAATGCCAAAAGAAAAAATAGGCCTCTGAAGATTTGAACAAGATGGTATACTCCTCACAGGGACAAGGCTCTTACTTATAGGAGCCAGCGGCATGGCAAATCCATCCAGAATTTGCCTGACTTTCTTCTTTCATAGGAACCCCATTGTTGGAAATCCAAATCTGTGGCAAAGAAAGACAATGTCTTGTCATGGAACATGGCCACAGAAAATTTCAAGCCAAAATTTGATAGAGTTCAGCTTACCTTGAAGTCCCCACCAAATGATGAGCTGACAGCCATACGACGGATAGGATGAAATGCAATAGCAGAAATTCCAGCATCCCTGCAGAAAGAAAACCATGTTCATGAAGAACTGATATACTAAGCAGCATAAACACGGTGACTCACTGAGTGCATTCAGAAAACTACAGAGAGGATATTCATATTTTGAGAAGGAGTAGAGCCAGATGAAACAACAACAATAGCATGTGACAAGAATACTAGTGCGGGAGAGGAGTGCAGGTTTATTGTGCAGCTTGCAGCACAAGCCTAGTACTTCTACAAGATCGCAACTACATTTCTAAATAAATTGCCAAGGGCCAAACCTGTGTGGTTCATAGACAATGGTCGACAAGCTGAAATCTCCAGCCTTCGACTTTGAGGACCAAAACTTAAGGAAAACAAGGTTTCCCAAGCCTTCTTCAGGCAGCCTCACCTCAGAAGTACACAGTATATAACCATCTGGAGATAGGACTACATATGTCACAACTATCTGCAACAACACAAGCTCTTCAAATTTTCCACTTTCAAGGAACATGTAAAAGAGAATAGTTCAAGTTAAGAAGATTTAGGTCAAGCAACTACGTTACCGTGACTTCATCAACTGGCTGGTGATTTCTCTCATAAACTTGAACCTGAAAAGTGGAGAATAAAAATAGTGCAATATATAAGCTATACAGAGATGGTGAGCAGATGGCCCAAATAAAAAGGGGATGAGAAGGTTCACGGGAACTAGAATAGAGTATGCGTTAACAGAAGAATGAGTAATTCTCTCAACCTCCGAAATTCCACGATCATCAAAGAGGCTGTATAACTGGACTGCATAACTCTCGGTATGCAAGGCAACCAAGCCAGCATTCTGATCGAAGGAAGCCCCACTTGACATAACCTTGGATATCTCTGGATGTGAATATGGGAGCTGCAAAAAATTGAGAAGAAAAAAGCCAAAAGCACCCTCCTTTATATACCTCTAGCAATAACAATGATATATTGAAAGCCAAAAGCACCCTCCTGTATAAGCATGTTTAGCTGCTTAACAAATTAGAAGTCATGCCTCTCCCGATGTAGGTTGCTACGAGATACCGGGTATAGCATTGGTTATTTGGTTATAGGGCCCATATGCACCTCCAAACTTAAACATGTAGAAAACTAGATATATAATGACCAAAAGAGATGCGAATAAAATTTCTATCTGCCCCTAATTTCCTCTCCCTGTCACTCTTTATTGTTTTTGCTCATTTCTTCATTTTCCCTCTGTTATGTTTGTCTTTTAGGACTCATCCTAGAAAGATCTAGTTTCCATACTAACAAATAAAAAGACTCGACAGCTTCTCATGTGGACTCCTCATAATAACAAATGAAAACTGCAAACATAACCATTTCAATTAAATCAGGTAAATCAGTGACAACCAACCTTTATTCCAGAGATAGACTTCATGATCTCCATTGAAGGCCTTTGAACTAGATGGATCTGATTATCTGCACAAGATATCTGATGGCCTTTGTTTCAGATATAACTATCAAAAGCAGCTAAACATGCTTATACACGCGCATTCTCAACAAATTCCACATCGGTCCAACCATGTTCAACTTACTGATGAAATTGACGGATCTGGAGAGTCTGTAAAATGCAAGAGTGGAGATCCGATTCGGGGTAAAAATTTCTTCTTCCCTGTGTCCACCTGCCAGACTACAAGAACACCTTCTTTTCCACCTAAACACAAAACAATGCAGAAGGTTTTTAGAAAGAAACAAGAAAGAGAAAAGATCCTAAAAGAGAACGCCACAAAAATCTGCAAGGCACAGTTAAGTTGCCCCCAGTTGATTGGTGACTGCTTCGCAAATTTTCAACAAGTGGTTTTAACATAAGGTGTTGTGCTTATGGGCATAGCTCTACTACCTTTAGTAACCAGATAGTAACGTGTCATTGTTTTAAAATCCACATGATACCAGTAAGAGAAATAATCAATTGGCCGTGCTTGTTAACAGCATAAATAGGGACTTCTTTTATGACCTCCAAAAGCCTGATAAAGTTTGACAATTCCTTTTCCAGTGTAAGGATATACATAAGCAGGAATAGCTAACACAAGATAGGGCATCTTTCTTTTTCGTTTTGTCACCATTTTACCTGAAAGTAAATAAGCTCCATCAGAAGAGAAGGAGAGCAAATTCACTTGAGCCGGGTGCCAGTGCAATGTTGTGCAGGACTCAGCATCATCACTGTCCCTCACACCAGGATTTTCTTCCTCCATAATCATTGAACTTCCATTTACATGCCCATCAGCCATGGCAAACATTTTGTTTCCAAAACCTCTCCATATCATAATTCTCCCAGTCACATCACCTGCAGCAAGAATTCTTTGGGTAGGATGGAACGCCATAACTGTTATGGCCTTTGTATGATGTAGGGTAATCTTCTTGAGCACTGTACGACCAGAATCAGTAGATGGGACTTTCCATATGTCAAGCTTACGCTTTCTTCGGACACCAAAAAGTTCACCACAGGAGCTCATTGTGATTATCTCTGGTTTCTTGGTCTGTCAGACGAAAATAGCATCATTTAAAACCATTTCACAAAATGAAATGCATGTGGCAACTTCTCTGAATTCTTTACATACATATTAAAGGTAAAGTGCCACTGAAGAAACCAGTTCTCAGTAGAATCAAATACACAAGATAAGGGATACCAGTAGCATAAAGGATATATGGTAGTAGTACACAGAAATTCCTAACCAAAGCAAATGCATACCAGCCACGGCTAATCGAATCGACCAATTCAGGCAAAGAACCTACCCTTAAACGTTAGCCTTCGATTATGAAACAAGTAGCATAATGCGATCAACTGCTGAATTATGAAGCGTACGTACCTCTGCTAATACTGCTCCTCCCACCAGACGAGCATCAGTTAAGTTACACTTTCTGACTTGAAACAAGACTTTAGACTTATCTTCTGACGCATCTTTAACTTCAACAGAAATGTAAGCGAGAACGGCTTTTTCGCTCGTTTGAACTGGTTTATTAAACAAAGAGGGAATCACCTGCAAACGTATCAACAGAATCAGCATCCAAATTAAAGTACACCGGGAAGACAAATCCTAATGCATCAGGGAATAATAATTATTGCCAAAATGCTGCTCTGCATGCTTGCTCAGCTTATAGGAACTAAGGAGATTCAAACTAACGCTAGTAAAATGGATAGAAGAATCAGCAATGCCAAGGTCTTATTTACCATGGAGTGAACGGGGAGCTTAATATCAACAGTCCTAATCGACTCCGGGACCGCGAAATCCCAATACCGAATAGTTCCATCAAGTGAAGCCGTCCAGCAAAAGCACAGTATCTTACTCCCCGGACTGGTCGCCGGCACCACTATCACCGCCGTCACAAGCGCCCCATGGCCGTCCAACGACGCTACCTAAGGAAGTCCCCCAAGTCAAAACCAGCTTCGGAATGAATTTCAAGATAAAAAAAAACTAGAAAATGAAATGAGGAAGAAGAGAGGAAAATTAGACAGGCACCTGCAATCCGGTATCGGTGCTGAAGACGGCGACGGAGTTTCCGGCGCAAACCAATAGCCGTTTGGAGTCGTTGGAGAAAACCGGCGGCGAAGACACGTAGTTCCTCCCGCCTCTGATCATAATGACGATGACGGAGGTGCGCGCGCGCGAGCTACAGAGGCTGGAAGGAGAAGAGACGAGGTCGACTGAGCGGCGGCGGTGGCGGTGGCGAGCGGGAGGAAGGAAGAGAGACGGAGCAGACGGTGGCGGGGTTTTAGGCTGCAGTTCGCTTCGTTTCTTCGAGGCTTTTGGGCCTTCAGGAATTTGACAGCGAGGGAAGGAATGCCCTAAGTGGGGAAAATTGGCCCCGCTAGTTTACCGTTTTCTTGCCTATTTTTAAAATATTTTTGTTTTTCGGGAAATTTAAACTTATGAAGCTATGTAAGGAATCGTCACTCTTCATTGCGACTTCTAAGTGGGCCGACTGCATAAGATTTGGGCCGACTCCATTTGAGAAAACCCACGTAAATAAAACTCAGACATTACATCACAGATTTATTTTATGATGATCTATTTAGTAAGTAACGAATTCGTCTTATGTTTGTTTATTTAGTAAAATACTCAGAGGAAAATGAAATAGTAATATTTTGAAAATTTTGATTCTCACTATGTGTGTTTTCATTTTTGTGTTCATACATGTATATAAACTCATTTTATCACTCCATTTGGTTGGTTCAGAGAAGCTTATGTTTAACATCGATATGCCTTATGCCTTTATATAGATTTATATAACATTTTATATTTACGATAATCATTCATGTGGTTTTTTATATCTTTACTTGCTCCTAAGTCCCTTCATATGCCGGGATTTTAGAAGCGTTTCGAGCAAGTGTTCTTAAATCTTGAGCTTATAAAATTTGCATGGGCTTCGAATACACCATAGTATGTTTCGAGTTCAACCAAGACTACACATTTTTTATTGCTTTAACCGATTTATCCGAATCATTCATCAATACATGAAAATAAAAAATTAGTTTTGTGATCAACCATTTTACGGCATGTTGCATGTAAATAAAATATGTGAAATTATTTTTATGGTTTTTGCAGGGAATTTTTTTTAACTAACAAAAAGAAAAGTTTTTTTTTACAAAAAACAAAAAGAAAAGTTGAGAAAGGTTATTGGTAGTTTGATAGCTCAAAACTCTAACAAAGGCTAAAAAAATAAAAAAATGAATAAATGACAAAAATGAAGATAAACAGTACAGAAAAGAGAATACCGGAAAAATTGATTTCATTGCATTTCCTCTACAGAAGAAAATAATAAAAAAAAAACTTGTAAATTGATCTATCATCATCATCAGTCTATTCTACCGTCTCTCATAGAATCTCCAATCTGAATCCCACTGTTTTTGCTTCTTCTTCTTCATTCTTCCCTTTCTTGTCTGTTTTTCCTGCCGATTTTCAGTTCGATGCCGTTACAATGTAACCATAATGGAACTATCCCCTCCTCCTCCTCTTTCCCTTAATCAAACAAAAGGTTCTCTCCTCTTCCTCCTATCGTTATCGTTCCTTCAATTCATAATCCCCCCGCTAATTTCTGTCGATTTGCATTCTGAATTTTACTTCTCCCCTGTTTTTCTTTATATTTTCCCTCGGAAAACTGGGAAAAAAACCCTTATCTGCAGCGTAGGCTATCATTTCATCGTTGTCGTACCTTGTTGATAAGAAAACCCCACAAAGATTTTCTCGAGAAACTCCCAGGAGAGAATTTTCACTTCCGGCGCGAAAAAGCTCAATCCCCCCTCTGCGATTGGGGCGCTTTCGGCTAGAAAGGTACGATCTTTTATCTGAATTCGTCCAATTTTCGCTCGTTTTGAGGTTTCCGTCTCGTGGGTTTCTTGTTGGACGAATTGAATTTTTCTGGGTTCCGTTTGGTTCGGCGGAATTTAGGGTTTTTCTGTTCCAATTCCAGGGTTTATCCTCCTGCATGCACTGATTTTACTCTGTTCTTTCTGCGTGCAGAGGGTAGAGTTCTTGGTTTCTGAGAAGGAAATGTCGATTCTGCCAAAGAGCGAGTCCATAATCATCCGTGACGTATGGAGCGACAACCTCGAAGACGAACTCGAGCTGATAAGGGACATAGTTGACGATTACCCTTTCATCGCGATGGACACAGAGTTCCCTGGCATCGTGCTACGGCCCGTAGGCAATTTCAAAAATGGTTCTGATTACAACTACTTAACATTGAAGGCCAACGTCGACCTTCTCAAGCTAATCCAGCTCGGCCTCACTTTCTCCGACGACAAAGGCAACTTGCCCACATGTGGAACTGGCAAGTTCTGCGTCTGGCAATTCAACTTCCGAGAGTTCAACCCGAGTGAAGATGTCTACGCCGATGACTCCATCGAGCTTCTCTCACAGTGTGGCATTGATTTCAGAAAGAACAACGAGATGGGTATTGATGCGAAGCGTTTCAGCGAGCTGCTGATGTCGTCCGGGATCGTGTTGAATGACAATGTTCATTGGGTTACCTTCCATAGTGGGTATGATTTCGGGTACCTCTTAAAGTTGCTTACTTGCAAGAATTTGCCTGAGACACAGGCGGAATTCTTCAAGCTGATCAGGTTGTACTTCCCCGTGCTGTATGATATAAAGCATTTGGTGAAGTTCTGCAATAGCCTTCATGGTGGGTTGAACAAGCTGGCCGAGCTCTTGGATGTCGAGAGGATCGGGATATGTCACCAAGCCGGGTCGGATAGTTTGCTCACTTGTTGTACATTCATGAAATTGAAAGAGAGTTTCTTCAATGGTTCGACGGAGAAGTACGTTGGTGTGCTATATGGTCTTGGTGTTGAGAATGGACAGAGTACTCATTAAAGAGGCAACAACAACAAAAAAAAAAAAAAATCAATATGAAATAAAAGTCTAAAAAAATGAAGTTTTGGTTAGTGTTACTTTGGTGTTCCAGTTCTCTTCTGTTGCATTCTGTATGGGGTTTTCTGCTTGCAGGTTTCAACACGATTCCAGGTAATGAGGCTCTCTCCAGGGGATGGATTACCATCCACGCGCCTTCTCCTTTGCTAGATTTACGTTGTACCCTGGTCTTTATAGTATCCTTGTTGCTTGGTGTATGCTCTAGGTAGCTGTAATCTCGGTTATCAGATTAGGAAGCGTATTCCTCGTGCATTGATTTAGTCTATTTGGTTGGAGCCTAATGCATGAGATTTCCAACACTGCCAGTCTCTTGCACAGCCCAGGCCATGTTTGGCGGATTAGCAACGCTATGGCTAGTTGGTTGGCTACTCACTGACATTTTACCGGGATGATAACATTTAGCTCTTTCTTTGTTTCGGGTTGCTTTGTTTCCCTGATATGGCTGCATTAGAAAGCTGCACTGCATCTAGTGCTTGTGTTAGAGATTACTTCCTTGCCCACATTTTGGCTTGTGTTTAATTGTTAACGTGATTGCTATAGGATTTGGAGATTTTTGATGATTGCATTGGGAAACCATTAGAGCTTCTTTGCCTACTTGTTGAATAACAGGGGAAACTAGGCTAGGTTGATCCCGAAAAATCGTTCACAGGTCATTTATCCTTTTGATTCTCTTCTGAAACTACTACACTAGCAAATTGCAAACCATCCTGCCAAATTGTGTTAACCATCCCACCTCACATTTGAACTGTTTGACATTCCCCTTTATTGTTGATCTTTCATGATTGCCCTGCCTTTCAGTTTAGACCATCAATTCCCCATTTCCTCCTCTTATATTCTACTGGTGTATGATATTAATGAGTCACTTGAACCAGTTGTGTGTGTCATAGTGTATCAGTTTGCAATTGTTTCATTCCGCAGCTAAGTTCTCAACCATTGGTGGACAGACAGTATTGCTAATCTATTTATGAAGCAATGCGCATAGAATTGCTGCGATTTCGTACGGGGAGGCACATATTGACATCACATTCATTGAATCTTCGGATTGTAATGATAGGGATAAGGGAAGATGAGAATAATCCAATAAAGATCTGCATTCCATTTTGCTCTGCAAACAGTTCAACAATCTAATTCAGAGTTCATCATGTGAAGACTAAACTGTGACAACCTTCTACTTTACAATGAGCGCAGTTGATGATCAATAGTCGCTCTATTACAAGATCCACTTAAGAAAGCACACCACCAAAATAACGGTAGTAACAGAATCCGGCGATACCACAACTAAAGTTTTTTCAGAAAGCTTCCTGCAGCAGTTAGCAGTTTGCTAAAACACCACTAAAATGTCCATCGTCGTGTGTCTTGACTCTCGACATGGTGCATGCCAGAGAAGAACATTACACATCAGCATTTTCATTGAAATCCTTACCCTAGCCTTGCTTCTCTTCTTAGCACCTAGAGGCAAGAAAGAGCAGAGAACCAGGAAACTGTTAATAAAGCAGCCGACCAGGGATGTAAACAATCTTGATTAAACTATATACAAATTGGCCTAAAGAATCTGGCTTTCCAATAGCATTTGTAGGTAGGAAACATTTTTAGCTTATCATACACAAGAGAGGCTTGAAATTCTTGCTTAATAAGTGTACTGATATCCAAAATGCAAGACAAAGGGTTACCTCCTCCGCAAATTTTATCAAAATAGTCGTCCTAGGTCGTTGCTGGCCTTCCATGGGAACAAAATGAGCCGTTACCACTGCTGGAAAACCAGCACTATCCAACACACCCTGCAATGAAGAAGAAAAAGCAATGTACTTAATGAGATATTTTGACCTGCTCAAAAGGTCGACTAAGCAGTGTATAAAGCCAATGCAGGCTTACCCTCACTATTCCAGCAACAAAAGCCCCACAGTTAAAAGTCCCCATGTCTTTTGGAATGGATATAAATCTGCAAACATCATGGTAGTAGTTGAACTGAATATGGATCCATGGACAATTGAGAAATAATTGACTGTTGATATCATTAGGAAGAAGTCAGGAGAAACCAAGAACCTGTTGACAAGGAGTTCTTTCTCACTGATCATGTATTCATCCTCATGTTCAGTTCCCTTCTCAAGGGAGTCGGCCACCTGATAGGATAACAAAGAGATGAGCAAGGAGAGAAACCAGATATGAGTGTAACTCAACTGGTTAGGCAATTTATCAAACAATAACCAATCGATCTTTTGGAATACCTCAAAGACATTCACATGAAAACATTAGCATCAGCAACTCAATAGTAGACAGGGAAATTGGACGAGAAGGAAAATAGCACCTAGAATTTCAGGCAATAGAGAAAACTCAGAAGGACCTACCAAATAAGCTATGAACTTACTTTGCCAAATAAAACCTTCCAAACGGTGCTGTGAACGAAAGACAAAATCCCCAAGAGTCGTGTTTCACGTCGATTACCCTGTGACAGCCAGAAAGGCATGAACATAACACACTCAGAAAGAAGAGGTTTTCAAGTAAATTACTGTTAGTAACAAAAATGCAAGGAACATAGCCAAAGGAAATCATATAGTGTTTCCTGTAATGTAAGGATCCGGGAAGCAATGAATCATGGATCCCATCAATTGGACAGCTGAAAGTACCCATCCAGCGAAAATCAGAGCAATGGAAGCAAGAAATGTAATGGATGACGCCTACTAGTTTAAAGCTTCCTGTAAATTTGCAGGTACCAAAGAAAATCTAACTTGCATTACTGCCAGCATTTAGGTCTCCTAAAGACTAATAAAATGTCCATTCAAATTGAGCAACTCAATGATACCAGTTTAACTATAATATGGTATACCTTCTCTCTATGGCAAAGAAGTTCTAGGCATCGAGCCCCAACAGCATATCCTGCATCCTCCAACCTGCACAATTGATTATGCACTATCTAAAGTTCCAAACTTTTCATGCAAGACACCAGATTTTCATAATCCTTACCAATACATTTTACCCTTCCCTGTTTTCAGTACTTCTGCTAACTTCGGAACCAGCAGCCCAAGGACCAAGAAACATTGTTTGTAATAACAAAATAACGCCGTACCTTCGCTCTAATTCAGCAATGTTGTCAACCTGCGTCTGGTTATACTGAACAAGCTCCGAGAATAAAAATGCAAATGCACTCAAACTAACCTGCAAAAATCATGAGCTTCAAGGAGGATATATTCCACTCTCAATCTTATTGAACAAGAAATTCAGAGAACCCGAATGATGCCGAAGCGAGCAACAGCTAACAATGATCATAGACATCAATTCAGTTCACTGCATAACGCAAAGGAGCAGTCTTAACACAAGAAACTACGCATCAACCTTACAGTCTCGCGACAGCTTGCCAAAAGGGTTTAGGCTAAAATGGTCAAAGATCCGATCCATTAGTTTGATTACCGGGAAAATGCCCGAGACAGAGAATAATCCTGCGCCTAGTGACCAGAGCTGGAAACCCAAGTCTACAAAAACTTATTCGGCAATGGTAACACCAGCAAAATCTAATCGAAAACTGCCAGCTTGTATATCGTCCCTCGTGTTCTCGGCAATCAAACATAACTATGCATCTAGGGTAGTGAGAAATTGAACGACGGATACGGTTATTACCTCCTGCTTGCCCTTGCTTAGGGGTTTCTCGAGGACATTGGAGTACTGCTTGATCTTGCTTGCTCCGATCATTTTTCCACCCTCCGAACTTGACAGGAGTAGTCGCAATTACTCCTCCTAATTACGATTCTGTGGAGACGACGAGATCGAATAACCGGCGAATTTTCTCAGGCCAGTGAGCGGGGATTAGTGTTCGGGAATCTGTTTGGCAGCTGAGAAAAGGGAGTCCGAGAAATGAAATTGCAGAGCACCCCGAGTTTTTTTTTTAAAAAAAATTTGCATTCCCCGATCCTGGTTGGACCGGTTTTTATTATACCGGTTGACCCGATCACCAGGATATTGTGTCTTCGTTGTTGTAGTTGGGCTCAAAACAAAGTAGAAGTTGGGCTTTTCAGTAACATGAGCAAAGCCCATGATGATTTTGGATAGATTTACCATGTAAGCGTTGATTAGGTCTTCTGTTCGTTTTCAAGCGTTTCAGTCTCATACTCTTTTTGAAACTTGTAAATTGGTAGCACGCCAACACTATTTCAATGAAAGGTTATTCTCAAAAGGTAAACCTTTGGTTGAGGTATTGGGAAGCGTTTCATCTGCTATCCTGTGTGCTGGTGCTATAGTCATCTCTCTGTATGTTTAGTGTTGTTACTGAGTTTTGTTGGGATCAATATCTCCTTTACCAAGCTGTCAATACAACACGGAGAAATGATGATTGGGTTGAGCACAATACTCGACTCAGTTCTTTAGCCCGATTTAGAAATTGAAATTTTGTTGGTAAAACAATACTACAGACTACAGTACTAAATTATCATGTCAAAATTAAGTAATATCGTGGAATTATATGAGGTGAGGGATAAATTTGTTCATTCTTAAGAAGATTGAGGGCTATGATTGAAATTTTACCCCAATAAAGTGAATCGGAAGGAAAAAAGGACAGACAAAACAAAAGCCGGATCCAAAAAGCGGAAGCCCGAAACCAAATCAAACCGAGCTGGAACTCCGAATCCGACCGGGCAGAAGCTCCAAAAGAGAGAAGAAGAGAGAGCTTTTCTTTCTTCCTTCTCTGCCCTTTTCTCCTTCTCTTCGCCCACTAAGAACAAGACACGCTCTCTCTCTCTCTCTCTCTCTGTTTCTTGGTCGGACTCGGAGCTCAAAAACCCTTCCGCCATTTCTCTCCTCCCTTCTTCCTCCTCCTTCATTCCCACCGTCTCTCGAGCTCCTTCTCCAATGGACGAAGACGACGAATTCGGAGATCTCTACACCGATGTCCTCCAGCCTTTCTCCAACTCCTCAACCTCCGCTCTACCGCCGCCACAGCCGCTGCTTCAGCTCCAGCCGAAACGGGCTTCCCCGCCGCCTCCGCCTCCCTCGTCGTCATCCGTCGATCTCAATCCCGACGACGATGACGAGATTCTCTACGGCGCATCCGGGCGTGGTGATCAAACCCTAGTGAATTCCGCCCCCAATTCGAGGCCCGATGGAAAGCTCTCGGTCATGGTCGGCGGCGGTTCCGATTCACGATTGGGGATTAATAATAAGGGTTTGGAGGCGAGGGGAATTTCCACCGATTTTCTATCCGGGGAGCCGGATAAAGATTTGGATTTTGATATCGAGGAAGGTGGGAATGCTGGGGAGGATTCGGGTCTCCTCATTCCTGGACTTGGGGTTGATATGGTGGAGGACTCGAAGCAGAATGGAGCGGCGGCGGGTGTTGGTGGCATGGGTGGCAGCGGCCGAGGGGTTAAGGAGGGGGGAGATGAAGAGTGGGACGAGGAAGACAGTGATAGTGAAGACGATCTGCAGATAGTGTTGAACGATACTGGGCCGATGGGAATGGACAGAGGCATGATGGGCGATGGAGAAGAAGATGAAGATGACGACGGCGACCCTTTGGTGATTGTGGCAGATGGAGACCCGAACCAGGGTATGGGGGAGCCGGATTGGGGCGGCGGAGATGAAGCAGCGGCTGATGCTGGAGGTGAAGGAGGGGACAAGAAGGAAGGAGGAGAGGCAGCTGGGAAAGGAAATGCTATGGTGGCCGGAGCGAAGATTGGATATAACAATCACGGATATCATCACACATTTCATTCCCAGTTTAAGGTCAGTTTTGATCGTTGTCGTGCTTATATATGTTAGACAAAGGAAAAGGGATAACGAAAGTGTTGTTCTTTCTCATGTTTTGATGAAAGTGTAGAAATGTATAATGGTGTACATAATGTCATGAACGTGTCTATAGCTCGTCATGTCTTCTTCATGTACTCTTTTTTAGTGGAAGATATGAATGAGAATTTTGAAGCTTTACTTATTAATGCTCATTAAGTTCTTATAGTATGCAACATGGTTTGGATTTTTCGGGTTGGGTAACGTTATTCAGAGGTTCTCCATCCGCTATAAGAAGCATCCAGGGGACTTGTCCAAGCCACCTACGCTGAAAGCAATGACTCATCTAACAATCTAGCCAATATCACGTTCTCCTTCTTTGCTTCCTGAAAACCTTCGCCTTCTCACAGCCTTAGGTGCACTTATGCCCAAAAAGTGTTAGCTCCTCTGTTAAGGGGATCAAGAATGACAACGCCGTGAAGTTTTGGGTTATCCGCAAATTGTACCTCTCTGCTATCACTGTGTCGAAGGTCCGACCATCTCCTTGCCCTTGTTTTGGCTAACATTTAGCAGTTAAAGCTCGGCAACTCGGAGCATTTTGACTTTGCAGCTCAAAATCAGGATACCTAATAATTCTGTGTAGCGAGCCATTAAGAAATGATGTCCTCAATTAAGCTCATAACTTATATGATTGCAGAGGACATCAATGATAGTTGCAGTCCTGAAGAATTCTGAAGTTGAATCAAGTTGAGTTGCGATAGTTAGTTTGATCAGCTTAAGCAAAGACGAGAAAGTCAATTTAGTAGCTTTGGGTTTAGATAGGACAAGGGTTCGATCTAAGACCTGTGCTTAATACCCTTTGCCTGCTGTGCATTATGAACTTGCCCTAAAGTTATTGGCAGCAATTTGTCAAATTGATTTCTTTTTTAGCTTGTCACTTGATTTTGTCAGTCCTTTTTCTTGACTATGTGAGCCTTTTTGCTTGACTATGTGCAGTATGTGAGGCCAGGTGCAGCACCAATGCCAGGTGTTACCACTGGTCCTCCTGGAGCACCAGGTCAGCTTCGTCCTCCGATCAGCTTAGGTTCTATGCCGGGTCGGGGTAGAGGTGATTGGCGCCCAATGGGTAATAAAAGTGGCCCTCCAATGCAAAAGGGCTTCCCAGGTTATGGTGGATGGGGCAACAACATGGGTGGGCGTGGTTTTGGTGGAGGACTGGATTTCACACTTCCTTCTCACAAGTAATTCTCTCTGAATATTCTTAGATGATTACCTTTTTATTCATAATATCTTGGCTTTTGTTGATCATTGGTTTCCGGTAGAGTACTAGGCACCAGCTAGACCAATTAGGTTGTAAAGTCGCTTTGCTGGTCTTTATGTGGTGATGGTCCGCGAACCCTGTCAGTGTTGTTTGCATTAGTCATTTCCTTCTCTTGTTTTGTGTTTTCAGGACAATATTTGATGTTGACATTGACAACTTTGAGGAAAAGCCTTGGAAATATCCTGGTGTTGATATAACAGACTTCTTCAACTTTGGGTTAAATGAGGAAAGCTGGAAAGATTATTGCAGACAGTTGGTAACTATTTGGCCTTTATCCATGCTATCTTACATATTATTCGATTCTCAGAGGGTCTTCTTTGACATTTCAGGAACAGCATCGTTTAGAGACTACCATGCAAAGCAAAATCCGTGTTTATGAAAGCGGGAGGGCTGAGCAGGTAATGATTTAAGAATTTTCTTCTGCCATTCATAAGCATCATGGTATTCAAATTATTAAGACTTTTGATCATTGCTTTGCAGGAATTTGATCCTGATTTGCCCCCAGAATTAGCAGCAGCAGCTGGAGGCCATGATGTTTCAGTTGACAATTCAAATATCGGAAAGACGGATTTGGGCCAAAGTGATTTAGCAAAAGGATCTGCTCGTGCTCGGCCACCTATAGTATGTCTTGGCTAACTTGTCTGTTTATGATGAATGTCTTATTTATTTACTTTTGTTCTTTTAACATTATATATTCTGGATTCTTTTGTGTATCTTCTTCATTTGTCCATTTCAATTGAAAGAACTGACCGCCCACTGTCTTCATGTCAGCCAACTGGTAGGCCGATACCAGTTGAGACTGGTTTTAGTGACCGCCAACCCTCCATCGACACTCGGCCACCTCGTCTTCGTGATTCTGATGCAATCATCGAGGTGAGTTTTTTTTCTTCTTGTTTCTGTTATTATTGACTCTGTCAAACATATTCCAAATACATGCAATGTGATCTTAACTGGAATTTCCTTGGCAAACAGATTCAACTGCAGGGCTCACTTGAAGATGATTCCTCAGGAAATGATGCTCTTGATGGGGAGAACTCAGGAGGGAGCAATAGAGGTAGTCGGGTGCCTGATGATCATGAGGTGATGGCACCAAAAGCAGAAGATTTTGTTGATCCCTCACAGGCTCATCCCAACTTAAAGGGCGGAAGAAAGGCTCCGTATATGGATAAGGACACTGATGGAGATGTGCCTCGTGCCTCTCAATCTGACGCACCAAGTAGATATCGTCCCAGTTTTAGGGGCCAGGCTCCTGTCTACCCTGGTGGAGATTTGGGCACTTCTCATGAAGAGAGGTACGTGGAATATTTGAGACACTGCAACCTTGCAAAAAGCCACATTCACTGTTCTCTATGGTACAGAGCTTTTTAGTACAGTGGACAAAAAGTGTGGTCAATTCCAAAATCTATGGATGTTACTATACCTCCAATGATGTTACTAGAGAGACCAACCTTGTCAGATCTTCCCTTCAAATGATCTTGGTTAAGATTTACGTTCCTTTTACCATCTAATGATTCTATGTAAGGAATCATATCTTGTATGTAAACTATGATTTTACCTCATTTGCAGCATTGAGAATTTGAGATGACAAATAGAAGATAAATCATGAGAATTTTGCCTGTACAACCTTTTTATGTCTAGGTTGGTTGCGAAGTGATATAAGGCCATATTATGTTGATGGAAGCTCTTTTTGTGGTTATTGCCACGATTTTGGTAGTTTATGAATTAAATTTTTGAAGAATTTCTCCATTGTTAGTGGACCTAATATCCTATTGTACTTCCACTGCCACAGGCGGAAACAAAGAACAAATGGCAGGTCTCCTCATTTGACTTCTAGTAGAAGCGCAGACGAAGAGTCGGTTGAAAGCATGGGTGGCGACGGCAGGCGTAGTAGTCAGCAGTTATCATCTCCCACTAATGGCAGGGAGGTTAGAGAGTCTAGCGTCGGAGACAAGGATTGTCTTGATGCTGTGGGTGACTTCTTACCAGCTGAAGGAAGCTCTGGAATAGCAAAGGGTGGAACTGGGCCAAATGACTTTGGGAAAGATAGAAGTACATATCATTCCAAAAAGAAACAGCGAGTTGAGCGTTCCTCTGATATACCACTCCAAGAAGACGATGCTCAGGAAGAGGAGGATTCTAAAGCTGCTAGAAGCAGTGAAAACAGTAAAGCAAGGTCCAGCAGTAGTAGCAAAGACTATCATCAGAAATGGCAGGATGGTGTTGACGATGAAGTCGTTCAAGGTGGTGGGCGATCTACATCTATCCGGCCTGGCAGCAGCATCAAGAGGCATCCTAAAGACATGGATGGAAGGCAAGAGACAGAAAGAAGTCGTGTATTGAGTAAAAGCAGGGAAGGGTCCTATACTCGCAAGGAATTGGATCCTAGCATTGTAGGCAATCACTTGCAGTCCAAAGGCGAGGGCTATGATCGAAGAAAGGATCGTGATAATCTTGATGGAGCTTGGCAGCAGCGGAGACAGGAAGACTCTAGTGTTCATAACAGGAAGACCAAACCTGAAGAGATGAAGAAAAGGGAACGTGGAGATGAAATAGGATCATCCAGGCACAGAAAGGTTCGAGAAAGTGAGAGGAGTGAGAAAGATGAACATCTGATCTCGAGGAAGCAACTGGATAATGGTAACTACAGGGCTCATTTTGATAATAAGGATGGTGGTGGGTCTAGGCACAGAGGAAGAGAAGACAGCGTGAAGCATAGATATGAAATTCCGGAGGATTACCATAGCAAACGAAAGAAGGATGAGGAATACATAAGAGAAGAGATGTTGCATGGCCACAGGGAAAGTAGTAGTAGCCATAGAAGAAGGGAGAGAGATGATCAGCAGAGAATTCCCCGGGATTCCATGGAAGATTACCATTCTTCTGGCAGGCATAATAAGGATGAGGCATGGCTCTCGCGAGAGAGGAATGATAAACCGAGGGAAAGAGAAGAGTTATTATATAGACCAAAACAATCTACCCACGAAGAGCATTTTTCAAAACGTGAGAAAGACGAGGGTGGACGAGGTTCTGTGAGGAATGGGCGGGGGATTGATGAGAAAGCATGGATTGGCAATGCTCGAGGGAAAGACGAGTACTTCGCTAAAGATTCTGTTCGGAATAGTGAACAGCTGAAGAAGAGAGAACGGGTGGAGGATGTACGAGGAGGAAACCAAGTTAATAATAAGGAGAGAAAATCTTCAAGGCATGAGAAGGAAAAGTCGAGTGCTCGAACTGATCGTGCTGTTGATACTCCTGATAACCACAGATCGTCCGACAAGAGACATAAAGAAGCGACCAAGAAGCTCAAGGAGCCGGAGGGTGCAGATTACGGGACACTGGGATCTTCCATCAGAAGCCGAGAAGACAAGACTAGTCAAGCTAATAACTCGGTATGTATAAAATGAGACACATGGGCATGGAGCGCATGAAGTGATTGTTTGCACTGTAGTCAAAATCCCAAGTCAAAACACTCAAAAGCTTACACTTTATCCGCTTAACCAAATATAGTTCTGAGTTTATGCAGGAGATATCAGTCATACAATCTCAAGTGTTTAATAACAAATGAATGAACTTGGTGGAATTGCGATAGGATCTATGCTTTTATACGATTCTACCTTGATATAATTATTTAAAGGGTCATGCATGATAGATGTTTTGAATAAGGATAACATCATATGAGTTTTGTATATCTTAAGATTCTACCTCTCAATGTTGCTATTTTTTTTACACATGTTCTCGATTCCAAGGAAAATATATAGTTTGAGTACATTGGGTGTATATGGAGGAATGAATGCTAAATATTCACAGATTACAATATGTGGAATGTTTTAGAAGTAACAGGCTGATTTTTTAATCCCTGCAGAATGACAAAAGATCAAACGTTAACTATTTTCCATGATCGGTAGAATCTATAGTGTGACTGGTTGTTGGTTTTGTTTAGGAGGTGAAAGACAGCAGTGATCGCCAGAACGATAACAAGCAGAATCAAGTGCAACGGAACTCCTCTAAAAGAGCTAAAGAAGATGCATCATCAGACGAGGAACAACCGGACTCTAAAAAAGGACGCTCGAAACTGGAACGATGGACGAGCCATAAGGAGAAGGAGTTCAACATGAATAACAAGTCTGCACCATCTGCGAAATTAAAAAATGGAGATAAGAACGACGATGGTGGGCCCTCTGAGAAGGTTCAGTCTGTCGAAAGGCAGCACCCGGTGGTGGAAGAGAAGGATGGTGGTGGCGATAATACAGAGAACAAAGATGGAGACAAGAAGCAGTTAGACGACCGCCACCTGGAAACTGTCGAGAAGTTGAAGAAAAGGAGCGAGCGGTTCAAACTCCCACTGCCCCTTGAAAAAGATGGGTCTACGACAGTGAAGAAAATAGAGACCCCGGATGCATTGCCACCAATGCCTCCAGTTAATAAAACCGAGCCGGTTGCTGATGCAGAGGTCAAACCTGAGCGTCCTGCTCGGAGAAGAAGGTGGGTAGGGAACTAGATTCGTCAAGAATTCTCAGATGCCTGCTCTTCTATTAGTGCTGTCACTTACCATGTTGAGCAGCTTGATCACGTTAAAGGCTTCACTGAGCTCAAGATGCCCTCTCAGGAGGAAGGTCGAAAAGCGACGATCTTGTAACATGTGTTTGCTTTGATCTTATTTAGTTATTGTTATATGTACATACTGATAGATGTAACGCTGAAAACCCCAGCTTATGCTGCTGCTGCTGCCATTGTTGGCACGAGAACGAGGAAACCCTTCTGTTTTTTTCTTGTAAGACAAACATATCTGTGTTCTTCCCCCATTTTGGAAGTCGGCCTTCTTTCTGGATGTGCAGATGGCTGGATGTTGAAGCCATGGAGACCGTCGCCACATTGGCTCCACCGGTCAGAGTTGATTCCGAGAGGCTGGAATCTCCCTGTCAATGGCCGCTGCTGCGGAGAAGGCGTTGGATCTAATCCGACCTTGTATTAACTGTATAAGAGATCTTGTAGTTGTCAGTGTCCTGCTTTTGTAAGTTCTTCAGGCGTTCTATTTTGTCTTTGAATTGGAATGCTGATAAGGCAGGTAGCGGGATACCCCCATAACTTGCATCTGTAAGACTGTAACGTAGCAACGAGTTTCCAGTTTTTATATATACAGAAGAAATCCGGTGAAGTTTGCAAACTGGATGCCAAGAAGAGAGTGAAGGCAGCCGGGAAATGACCAGTTTGTCACAAACCGAGAAACCTAAGTGACCTATCTGTTACATTTTGAAGTTCAATGAGAATTCTGTTATATTGATAAACATGAGGGACTGTTTAAGATATTAAAACCTCCATGTAGTAGTTCAAAGTTCAAACCTCAGAATTTTAATTCCGTCTCTCCGCTAACCATTTCGCGGCAGCGCCGAAGAACTCTACCCAGTACGGATTCCGGCCGGCAGTCGGCAGAGCAAGTACTTCACTTCTTGATCCCAGTTGTGATTCTCGAATGTCAACGTTGGGACTGCTTTGAAGAAGCCTAATAGCCCCGGTAACTACCTTAGTTCGTCGCTTTGCTCTCCTTTTCCATTTTTTCGCTGAATTGCGATGGAGTAAGTTTTACGAATTCCCAGCGAGAATGAAGTTTCGATTGTTCCACATGAATCGAGGAGTTGGGAATTGAACGTTAGGGAGATTAAAGAAGGGGGAAAGTAGAGGGGATGGGAGGGAGTTGAGCTTGTGTCCACAAGGTGTTCGATCATTTGCTTGAACGAGTTGAACTAGTAGCTTTTACGATGGTTTACTTGTACCAGTCTGGTCTCCAGTTAGCATCTCGTAGTTTTGTGACGTCTTCGATTGGGATGGGTTGTTACTTTTTTGCCTCCTTTCTCGAGCTTGAACTAGCCTCCTGCTGATCTTTTCTTATGGTTCCCCTTCCCTGTCCATTCTAAAGGCATATATAGTGTTTCTGTTTCATAAATCAATTGGTTTATAATGTTCAGTACTTCTCTTTTGATATCGAATTCCCTTGATTTCTGTTAACTTTGCAGATTTCTGAAAGGCCCTTCGCCAAAAGTTCAAACCTTCCAATTCAACAACCCACCAAAATGTCTCTTCGTCGACCACCCTCGCCAAGAATGGTACTCGACAATGTCTCCTGCATGAGAAACGCACAGCAAATCCTCCGCCACGTCAATGTCTCGGTCCATGACGGCAGTGCCATCGTGCTAACGGGCACCAACGGCTCAGGCAAGACAACACTCCTGCGCATGTTAGCAGGATTCACCAAACCATCTGCGGGCCAGGTCCTCTGGAATGGACATGACATAACAAACTCGGGAGTCTTCCAGCAGTACAAGCTTCAACTCAACTGGCTCTCGCTGAAAGACGCCATGAAAGACAGGTTCACGGTCTTGGACAACGTGCAGTGGTTCGAGGTCCTCGAGGGGAAACAGGGCAAATCGCTGCCTGCCCTCGAGTTGATGGGGCTGGGACGATTGGCGAACGAGAAGACGAGGATGCTGTCTATGGGACAGCGGAAGAGGGTGCAGCTAGCGAGATTGCTGGCCATGGACCGCCCCATCTGGTTGCTCGACGAGCCATCTGTGGCGCTGGATGATGAAGGGGTGAAGCTGCTGGAGTTCATAATTGCGGATCATAGGAAGAAAGGTGGGATCGTGTTTGTGGCGACTCATCTGCCGATCAAGATGGAAGATGCTACGTATCTCAGGCTGCCACCGAGGTTCCCCAGAAGGATGACATTTGTGGACATGCTGGATCGTGCTGACATTGAGTGAAAAGAACAAGAATTGGAATATAGATTAGCACTGTTAAACTTAACATCCAAATCCGTGTTTTTGGGTGGGGAGGGTCTAATCCTGAGTTTCACATCATACCTATTTCCTATGATGGTTGTTCTGTCTTTGGCTCTTGATTCCCTTGAACAATTCGTGCTGGATTTTGGTTCCTGGGGGGTTTCCCCTCGTTGACAATGAAATGAGGATTAGATCGTGGATTTTAAGATGCCATCTTATCCTTAATTATTGAGGTCTTGGAATGTTTCAGTACTTCATTCTGTGCTGTTGACGATGGATTCTGTCCTTTTCAGGTCTTGTGGTGGATTGGGAAAATGACAAATAATAAATTCGAGATTTTATCAGGTCAGTTTTTCCCTCCAAACATATGCAGCTCTAGGATTTATTAGTTGAATTACAAGTCGATTTCGTGCGCAAATAGACTAATGATGAGTTTATAAATCGAATACGTGTGAACATTAATTTATAAGAATTGCGAAGATTTGTTAAGATACGAATTCATGACTAACCGTTTATTATTGAAGATTATGCATTAGATATTTAGATCGGGTACAGTATATATTCGGTTCATCCTATAACATAAATCTGATCTCTCTTTTTATTCTTTTGGCTTGTGATTTGGTAATTGATAAATTGTAGTGGAAAGCAAGTATAGTTTTGGGCAAGGCAAAGAGAATCTTGTTAAACAAAGATGAACGCTATCATATCTTCATGAAAGATTATAAAATAGGGGCACTACCATTGCTGAATCTGTTCATCCATCATGAATCATACATCAACAACAGTGTTGACGTCTCTGAATGATTGAAGTGTAAATTACAAAATTCTCTTGAATTATGTTTGTGTGTGCCTTCCTTCCATTTGTCTTGGCTCGCATTTCCCCATCGCCTACAACAATTCAAAAAGGATAAACTCCCTGCACAGATCTCATCTCGACATCTTCCCCTGCACCTAGAAGAAAACAAATTTTCAAAGTCGAAGTCTTTGGAAAGAGACGGCACTAGAACACACAGTTACAGAAAAATGGACGTCAAACGATCTTGGACTTGTACTCTCGTCACCCAGCTATGCCTCTGCGTTGCTCTGTACCTGGCATTGAACATCGGCGAGCCCCAGCAGCAGCAGCCATGGCAGCGTCTTCCTCGTCGTCCTGATGATGTCATCGTCTTTGTAACGGTACGAGGTGGTGGGTTCAGACCTTTTCAAACGCAGACCCATCTTCTCAAACAGGTCAAAGTTCTCTCCTTTTTTATTCCTTTCGTCTCTGTTTTCCCTGGTTCATTGTGCAGTTCGAGCAGTTGGGCATTTTGGGCTGGCCGATTTCTGATATGGTCAATGGTTCGAGTTGATGGGTATAGATGTTAATGTCGGATTTGCAGATTGAGGATGTAGTGAGGATTTACGGAGCTCGGTTTGTGGTGAATTTCAGTGAGCTTGGGGAGGAAGATCCCCTGACCCGTAATGTGATTTTCCTTCCTCTTCTCTGTTCTTCTTATTTTCTTTCTACCCCACCATTCCCGCTCAGTTTGACTCTTCGATTAAATAGCCCTGTCTGTGCCGAATACTTTGGCTCAAATTGGAATCAGTCAACTCAGCTAAATGGAATCATTAGGGAGGGAAATGATTGGTAAAATTGGTTAGTGAATGTAAATCGGACATTTAAATTCTTGTAATGCTTAGTTTACCAGATTTAAAACTGGGAATGTAAATCGGACACTGTCAGAGCTGTTTATTTGATTGTGCGACGCTCCTAATAGCTACAAGAATTCGGTTTTTACCTGCCAAAGTTGAATATCAACTGTGATTTTTTTGCAGGCAAGTCAGCTCTTCAAATCACCCAGCATTCCCTGGTACAGCTTGTTTCTTGGGCTGATTGTTGCACTCTTACACTTTGGAGACTGCTGATGAAGTTTGTGATTGATTTGCTTATGCAGGTACACAACTAAAGCTTCAAAGGGGCAGGAAATAGCCAGTTGCTTCAAGGAACATATAAAAATAGATAATAGACAGACTTTTAACATGATTGGTCTGAATACTGGTTCATTACTGGTACTGTGTCATAATTAGCTCCCTACCATTTTCATGGATAATCTGTTAAAGACTTGTCCATCTCGATTTAACATAAGTTAATCTTCCTTCTAGGATCTACTGCTTACCGAGTCGATGAATGGCTCGGGTGACGGTCAGAATTGGCTGGGAAGTACACTTGAAGCTGCTAATGGTAGTATCTGGTAACATTTCCTGTCTGTTGGTTCATCATTACTTCTCTCTCGATGGAATCCATGGATTAGTACTTTTATGTGTTGTTCATCAAATGCTGATAAAAAAGCATCCTATTTCCCATCTGTAAATCTAGGTCTATAGTCGTTGGATACCACCCGATCATTCGTTGTGACAAGAACCATGAGCATTTAGAATCAATAAACAGTGCTCCCGAAATTCTACACCATATATTTGTGAAGTATGGAGTGGTAAGAAGGCCAAAGGAAAAAGACATGTCAGGTGCTGCTTCTTCTCCAAACTCCATGCCCAGTTGTTGATTTGCTCATCTTTCTTTCTTTCTTCAGAATGCTTATTTGAGTACCAATGCCTGTTCCAATCATACCTCTCGAGACGGTGTGGATTACATTGGAATCGCAGGCCCTGATGAACACAGTGATGGTCCCTTTCTCCCAAATAGGAAATTGGGATTGGATCAGCAGCAGCAAAAGTATACATCTTTTCCTCGCACCTCCTAAGTTTTTTCATCAACATTTTGGTCTCTGAACTGCTTTCTGTTGCTGGCTTTTTGCAGTGGAATGGCCGATGGGTTCCTTCTCCACAGAGTAACCTCTCTTGAAATGGTATGCTGCTCTCTGAATCTCGCGTCTTGCAGCGACGAAACATACAAGTCTTTTTTCGTAATCCGATCTCTTCGTGCTTACCTCATTTCTTCCGATGGCAGATTACATATTCCACTAGTTCAGAAGGGAAGGTCCTGAGCAGATTTGTGACCCAACAGAAGGGCAAGGCTGGCATCTGACCTCTTACAATCTAATTCAGAAAGCCAAAAAATTTCCTTCTGGAGGTCGCGATTAAGGTAGACACTTCACAACATATAAACTAGATCTTCCTGTACCTATCCGACTCCAAACCAACAGAGTCGAGGTTTCCGATTTTTCACAATATTATACTCATTAGGCAATCTTCATTATGTAACTTGGTACGTGCTTAACTAAAGCAGAATTGATGCCACATTGGGCTAGATAGCTATTCATTACTACCACAACTTAGTTGGCAATTTCTGCTAAAAGTTATAGTATAGTGACCACTTATTACAAACATTATAATTCAGTGACCATTTACAGATTTATCCCACACAGCGGTGAAAGGGCAAAATAGGAAGAATCCTCCCCGCTATAAAAGCCACAGAGCCCAGCCATCAGGCTACAGCCATGGACTGAACTCCGGGTACTCGCTTTGAAGAGAGAGCAAAGAACGATGGCTTCGGCTTCGAGAGAGATTCTCTCTCCCCCGCCGGAGCCGATGACTTCTCCGGCCGCTGATTACTCTGTGTTTGTGAGTTTGGTTACTGGAATCACAGCTCTGGTTCCTCCTTTCTTCCTTCCCCTTTTGTTTCGTTCTGCCTATCGCTTCTGCTCTGCTCTCTCGCTCTCTCTCTCTCTCTAAACACGAGGCAATGACGATGACATTTGATCGATTTTCTCTCTTCCGCGAGCTCCCGGCTCGGTAGCGGCGGAGCCGCCGATTCCACGGCGGGGAGACGCCGGACGGCTGGATTCACGGGACATTGGATTCCCTCCGGCAACCGGTTGTCGCAGCCATGGACGGCGGAGCTTCCGGCTTCCGATCGCAATTCTAAATCCGAGCCTCCGTCTCCGACAAACTAACCCTCCGTCTCCGTACACGTGGACGGTGCTCGACCGCCTCTAATGTTCGTAATGGGCTGCGAAAGAACGTGGGCTAATTTCGTGTTGCTATAAACTAAGTCACTGGCCCAATCGGAGCCCAATAAGGAACTGCCGACAGCGGCCAGTGGCTTATATAAACACAGAGAGCTGCTCGAGAGGCAATCACTCACTAGTTTAAGTATGAGGCTTTGCTCTCAGTGGAGAGAGACAGAATCGTCGCCGGAAAATCGACAGTTTCTCCCTCTGGTCGCCAGCGAAGCCAGTGATTACTCGCCGCCGATGCGCGGATCTGCCGCCACATCGTCCGAAAGTACCTAGGGTTAATTGAAAGTTTGGTCACTGAGATTATATACATAAAACAAAACATATATATATGGTTTCCTTTGCTTCATCGACCTTCACTCTTCCTCTCGCTCTCTCTCACATTCGCCTGAGGCTATGACGAATGATTCTATCAGACTTCCCGGAGACGGAGATAGCAATGGCTGGATATCAGTTACCTGGCATGGCGACATCTTGGAGAGAGAGTGTTGGGACACCTTTTTTAGGGTTTCTCCGCCTCCTTTAATTTGTCTGCAGCCAATGGCAGCTGGTGATTCTTGCTTCTCTGTTTTCGTGGCTTGCTTCTTAGTGTCTGATTAAAGGCGAATCTGAGCCTCTTAGTTCGTAATTTCTCTCTTTTGCGATGATTTTCTCTAATGAGCTGCGTCGAAGATTTGATAGTGTTGAAATGTTGCAGGAAATGGGTTTTGAGTCTAGAACCATATGTAGGGTTCTTAGAATGTGAAGATTGTGGAGACGGTGTAATAGTGTGAAAGAGATCTAGATCATAGCTTGAAATGTGATAAATTGCAATCTGTACAAGATGGTATCACGATTGCTAATGCTAGACGTCTGTTAGAAGTTCTGGATGGAGTTAGATGTGGAAGAAACCGTTGAGTGAGAGCTTAGCAAAGCCATAGCAGCGGATTGTGATAAATTGCAATCTGTACAGATGTAAAGTTGGAATCACGACTGCTAATATGCTAGACGTCTGTTAGAACTTCTGGCTGGAGTTAGATGTGGAATAAGCCGTTGAGTAAGCTTAGCAACGCCATAGCTGCAATTGAGAGGCCGGAATGGGCACAGGCAGATGAACCCGGAGGAGGAGCTCCGTCTTGAACTTTGATCGCTGGAGGTAATGGTGGGTCGGCGATGTCTTTAACAGCTAGAGCTGGTTTCGGAGGACTCAGGTTTTCCGAGTACTTGGTTAGATTGAGCATTTGGCCCGGGTTGATTGGTAAGATGGCGTACATGAGATCTGGGTCGTTAAGATTCGAGCATGGGTTCTCTGCAATAAGGAAACAATAAGGGGAAATTCAGATTTTTATGATCTTTGGAGGGATGAAAGAAGGCTGCACGCATGAATGAATGCTTACTCAGATATTTGTTTGCAGTTCCTGGATATTCCGTAATGGTACCATTGACTTGGACCAGCTGTGTGTAAGTGGCGATCTCGAACATGGCATCCGAGTTGTAATCGAATGCAAGCGAGAGATATTCGTTGTTCAGAGTTGTAACGAACACAGACAAGTTTGCAGCTTGCAGTGCCAGAACAGAGTTGGTTTCCTTCCTCGTGAAGCCATGGCTTGTTGGGATTATAGAGAATCTAGTCAACGTGACTGCATCTGCATACTTTTTGATTTCGTCTACTGTAGCCTTTGGTATGTCGCTTACTTCTTCCTTGACAGCCAGTACCCTTTTGTACCCGAGATTGCTGAATTTGGCCAACACCGATGTATCGTCTGATTGTATTAAGACTTGTTGAGTGGTCTGTTTGTCAAATGAGGCTTTATGTAAGGCTGTGCTCACTGTCGTAACAACGTCGTGGCCTTCTTTCGATGCTAGGTATGCAGCATTCTGCAAGTTTTTTTTTTTTTGGGTATATTATTAGCTTGTTTAAGATTAATAAAAATAGAGATTCAGATGAAAGGGAATTACTTACATCTATGTTGATCAGAATGCCCGGAACAGATTTTGCCTTTGCAAATTGCAGGAATTGATCGAGGGTCATAAATTTTCCCTCGTTCTTTACCGCTGGATTTCTCTTAAGATCACTGGTTTTCTCAAAAGGGGATGATAATTGAGCTGAAAAATAAAAACATCCATTGTGAGAAGGACATGATGAAGGAAGATTGAAGCATCAGGAAAACGTGGTGAAACCATTGAAGAAAGTTGCTTATACGTTGTAAGCTTTGAATGTCACTCCATTCCAGGTCAAAAGAAAATATTCCATCATCCTTTTGAATTTCAGGGATGGTGGTGGCCCGATCAGGGAAAATGGCTGCTGCAGTAGTATCTACACTGAGGTCAGCAGTCGCCATACAGAAAGCAACTCCATCTTTACTCATTTGAACGCTGCAATCAATTATGTCGGCCTCATCATCTACTGCTTTCTGGTAAGCGAGATCAGTGCTCCCTGCATAAATTCCACTTGCTCCCCCGTTGGTTATAACCAAAGGTTGTCCTGCATTACATTAAAGTAAATCATGTTTTGGTTATCCTGCTATTCCTCATTGCCATCTTGATTCAAACATTTGGATGCAGGAAGAAGGCCTCACTCACCCTCTCTGCGGCTTTCGGAGTTGTTGTACTTGGCAAAACATTCTGTTCCACGAAAAGTTATAAAGTTAATATAAAGACACAGAGAAGGCTTAACCATCTATTTTGTATGTTCAATAAACTGATTTAGGTAATTTTCTGATGTGATAACACTGCTTTAGTGCAATTTTCAGTAAGGAGAAGTGATCTTTACCAACGGCGTTCATTGCAGTTGGAGGGAAATCGGTAATGAAACCATCGACTGAGAAGCCCTTACTGGTGAATTGCAGGTATTCTTCTGTTGGATCATAACTATAGTTGTAGCTGAGTACATTGTCATTTGCAAATCCGTAGACATATACTTCCAGACCAAGTTCATGAGCATCAGCCACCAGTAGGTTTGGCTCTGGTGCCAAGTAGTTGGATTTTTCGACCGGCCATATGTATTCCCTTGGGACAACAATTCCAGTTATCATCGGTTTGAGTTTGTCTAACAAGAGCTCACCGTAGGTTTGGTTGGTTGTGGGTTCTAGCTCTTCTCTGCCTTTGAAGGCAAAATAGAGCTTCATGGTAGGGGGTTTCATAGCACTTATTGCCTTCAGAAAAGTAAGCTCCGGAGTGGATAAATAATTGATGCCTCGGAGACTATTTTTGTCAAAATAGTCCTCATAGCTCAGCTTGTGCTCGTCATAGAATTGAGGATACTGAAATCACAGCAGAAGAGAGCATACATACAGAGTAAGGAAAATTGATGAGCAATGTTGCCTGCTGGTAGAGGTGGCAAATGGATCGAGTTTGAATGAGTAGTAGATTCTTTGTACAATAGGAGTTAAGTTCTGGACCAGTTTATGAACATTTGAAAGTGTAGGTACTCGATGGAAGACCATAAATATTTAAAGTATTATTTTTCTTTTAACCCAAATCAATTGGGCTAGATGAATTCTAAGTTGGTTCTAAGTTGGTTGGTTTGGTATTTACCAACCCTTACTGCAGAAAGCTTCAGAGCACTAGGAAAAACAGAAGCAAAAACTGGAAACGTACCTCAACATGGATCCACCGTGGAGCAGCGATGCTTGCACGAAAATCATCAAATGTTGGAATCGGATCGATATCGAAGGCATCTGGACGGCTCAATACGCTCTGCGTTGCTGTTACGGTTTTTGAAGAACACAGAAAGAAAATGCTGGTAAGTGATTTCTGATTCGTTCATTTCAATGGAAATGGTATCGTTCTGTAAATAACATGTCGGTTTGTTGCTGCAGAATGGCCTTCTGACTGACCTATCACGTTATTGAGTTGGTTCATGGCGTAATCCACGCTGAAATAGCCCGTGACATCTTTTCCATTTACCTTGTACGTTTTAGTTTTGTTGGGGTACTCTACCGCTATGCTGGTTCCTTCACTGAGGTCGAGATTTGCCACGCAGATTCCGACCTTGTCCATTGTTATTTGTAAATTGCAGAGCAGAATCAGTTTTGGGTATAGTGCAGCAATTGCATTCGCAGTTGGAGTCGATTGTGGGTATAACCCCGAGAACCCGCCATGAGCCACCACCTTTGGCTGCTCCCCTGTGGAAAACGGAAGAGGAACATCAGGTAATGCCCGAGGATTCATGCATTTCGAACTCGTATGGATCATCATCGTGTGGTATAATATCAGACAACATTTATCTTACCATGTAGAGTTTGCCATACGGAGCTTCCTTTGGCTGCCCCAGCGTCGCCTGGAGGCGGTGCTTCGCCTGAGGGTTCTGCGCTTGCTGCTGAAGTTGCATGGATGAACAATAGAACCAAAAGCAAACTCCTTGTCATCTTCGTCTGCTATTCCTTGTTGTGGGGAAAAGAAAGTATGCATTGTTATTTGCATATATTGCTTGCCTGTTCCTAATTACTACGTCTATCAAATGATCTCTCCGTCAAAAATTTCGTCGTTGATTCGGAAGAAAGCAGGATCGAGATTATGAGTTATCATGTCATGAAATGAAATCTTTTGAAAACGAAACTTACTTTCCAATTTTCTGCAACGTCCACCAGATGGACGTTCCTTGTCAAGTTTCAACTTCAAACCCCCTGAAACACTGTTTGGGGGATCCAAATCCTGAGCCAAAATGCAGGAAATTTTGTTGGTTTCTTACAGTGAATCGGAGCTCGAAAATTGCTACAGAATGAACAGTGTTCGAAGCTTTCTTCGTTGATTCTCAGGACAACATCATGTATTCATAATAAAAACACTCATAAAACTTCCGAGGTTTCTTTGAAGAAATTGAGAGAACAGGAAAGAAAGCGAATTCTGACTCTCCAGATTTATTGCATTGAAAATGTGTTGGCAAATTTTTCTTGGGAAAGAAAAGTAAGAAATTTACTATTTTAGAGTTCTGTGACATCTCGGCCGTAGATTTTCGCTTAAAATCATAAATTAATTTAACACTATTTGTATAATTATTATTTTTAACCGAATGCGCATTTAGCATCCCTACCCTTCATTCAAAACCAGCCGTCGGCAATAGATATGTAATACATAAAAGATGTAGTTAACAAAAAGGTTAATTAGACATGTAATAAGTTTATTAGATACCGAAATTTTGTTGGCACAAAAAAAAAAAAAGACGAGAACCAAACAATTGTCAACGGCAATTCTCACCAAAAGGGTCATTTCGGTTATTATAATTGCTTTCAATTTGGCTCTGTTACCATTTGGGAGCTAACTCACATTCCCCTTCTAAGAGTTTCACATTAGGGGACAAAACAAAAAAATTTCCCAAATTCTTCTGAAGGGGAATGTACGTTTTCTGATTTCTTCGCTCCACGGTAAAGGTAAGTTCTTTCTAATCTCTAATTTATCCTCTTCGTAATCTCAGTTTCATGATCGAAATGAAAAGTATAACACGAGATGTACGCGTTGAAACCTTTGATGACTTGAATTGGGATTTTGATGTAACATATAACTTCCGCCGTCCTAATCACGAGAAAATGGAGATAAATTGATAAATGAGTTCATTAATTCATTTGGTTTTAGGATTTAGAGTTGAAATCCTTGTTCACGGAAGGAGAGAAAAAAAGGCAAGAAATGTCTGGTCAAATTTTTTCAAAGTTCTTATGAAGGGGAATGTTCATTTTATGATTTCTTTGCTCAAGGGTAAAGGTAAGTTCTCTTTTAAGTCTAATTTATTCACTTTGTAATCCATAGTTTCGTGATTGAAATGAAAAACATTATACGAGATTTATGTCTCGAAACATTTGATAATCTGAATGAAAATTCTGGTGTAACGTGCAACTTCTCACGTTTCAATAACGAGATAATTGAGAGAAATTGAGGAACGGGTTCATTTGGTTTTAGGGTTTATAATTGAACTCCTTCCTTACCGTTGACAAAAGGGGGAAAAAACAAAAAAATGTTTGGTGAAAACATGTATGTTGATTATCTGGCTGATAGAGGTCATATTCTTCTTTTGAAGTGTTCTTGTATATATGTATTTTCTCATTTTTTATTATATATCTAGAATTTGATATTATATAATTATCAGGGTTATCTCGATTTTGCATCTAATTATTGAACAAAACACATGTGGGCGAACTTTTCTCTGAACTAATGCTTCTTTATTTTTGTACACGAAAAAGAAGAAATCAAACAAGGTGCAAGTTAAGAGGAAGAAAAAATGGTGAGGGGTTTGCTTTTTGTGCTATTGCTCATCCATGCAAGTTCTTCTGCAAACGGTGCCGATGAGAAAGAAGCTCCATGGCTAACCCTAAACGGTGAGAAAAAAAACATGTTTTGGTTTTCAACTAGTCCCGCTCGTATCGAATTTTCAACTTCAAGTTGTACCATAACATAAAGGTCAAATTTTCTTATGGTACAACTTCAATTTGTACTTTTTAACGTTACGATACAACTTCAAGTTGTACTTTAAAGCACATTTTTCTTCTTCTTCTGATCCCGATATGAATGTTCGCCCAGGAAAGGCGCCGGCGGTGGTAGCTCGAGAGGGTTTCTCCGGGCAGTTCCCTGAAGACACCGGAATGGCGTTCCAAATGCGTACATACGACGACATGCTCTTGCTTTGCAGCGTACAGTTAACGATGGACAACGGGGCAGTTTGCCAGCCAGATGTGGAGATCAGCAAATCCACAAACGTACAGGCCCTCCATCCAAACATGACCAAAACTTACAACGTGAATGGCAAGAACGTTAGCGGTTACTTCACCATTGATTACACCATGAATGACCTCGTAGAGACGATGGTTGGTGAGTTTTTACTATAAATTACGAGATTATGAAAGAATGAAGTTTTGCATCAAGCACAATTACTAAATTTTTACGATTTGATCAATATAATAATGTGTAATACAAAATTAAAATACTAATTTTGTACTTGATATATTGGTAAATATGTTGGATAATGCAACGAAACGCATATAGTTTGTGTCAGATTTGTCATATTGAATAGTTTAGTACACAAATGACGCTTTTTGAATAGTTTGTACATCTTAATGGAATTAGCCCTGAAAAATTATATTTTATAAGAAGATTTCGAATTGAATAGCTAAAAAGAATATTTATTGAATATTAAAAAAAAATTGGCCACATCTTTTATCTGGTACGAGGGCATCTAGGATCGATTGGATGGCCATGATGCATATGTAACACATTTTTTTATTCTGTAATCGCCGGTTAGATAAATTTGCTTCGTTTCTCCTCTTTTTACCGTCCTGCAGGGGTTCAACGCATCATGACTCGATCAGATGCTTTTGACGGCTACAGTATTATGCCATTTGAAGGCGAGAGCCAGTTCAAGATGCCTCTTTTGTGGATCAATGTTCCGGTACGGTCTCGCGAATGAGTCTTTTGTTTGCATGAAATTTGAAGGGGTCCTATTGGATGAGGAATTTCAACGGATCAATCTGACCCAATTGTTTTGTTTTGAGATAAGCTGGCGAAACCGATCCATTTGACATCATAAAATTTGGATGAAACAATTCGGCACGGAGAATTTCAAATTTGTTTGACTTGTTTTTCAACTGATTCGCCTTTTTTTTTTTCTTTTTTCTTGTAGTATGTTCAATTCTTCTCAGAACACAAGATGAACATGGAGGATTTCATTCGCCAAGTCCCGCTGACCAGCAAACATTGCCTCTCCTCGCCGGAGATCGGTTTCTTGAAAGCAATGAGTGACAGAAAGCTCCCGGCTGGGCTGAAGCTCTACTTCGCCTTCCACGGCAAGGACGCCGTCGAGCCCACGACCAAAAAGACGTACGGTTCGATCGCGTCGGACCTGGCCGCGTTGAAGCCGATCGTGGCCGGGATCGTCGTCCCGAAGGACTACATTTGGCCGGTCGACAAATCCAACTACTTGGTCGCACAGCCGACGACTCTGGTGACCGACGCTCATAAACTTGGTCTCGAGGTTTACGCTTCCGGCTTCGCAAATGACAATGTGCTCGTCTACAACTACAGCTACGATCCGATGGCAGAGTATCTCAACTTCATCAGCAACGGCCAGTTCTCCGTCGACGGACTTATCACCGACTTCCCGCCGACCGCGACGGATGCCATCAGTAAGACTGATCCCCCTGTATCTACATTATGTCAATTTATCCATTGTTTTCATTAATTTTTTTTGTCACATTTGGGTCTACTCGCGCGCGTGCATAACCCGAAAAGACATTCGGATTAGGAACACGCACGAGTAGACCTCCTCACATATAAATTTTGAACATTTTCTTTTGGAAACGTGACACAGTGTGTTTTGGACCGTTACGCGAGAACAGGTCGAAACAAGGTGAGAGATTTCTCCTCCCCTGTAACCTAACCATACCCAAAAATCAAATAGCTCAATTATGCACACAATTCTGCAAGAAAAAAAAAAAACTGAACCAACCATATATACACATCTCATCGCCATGGCAGGGCAACCTCTGATCATAACACGAGGAGGAGCCTACGGAGTCTACGCTCCGAGCACCGACCTCGCGTACAAGCGAGCGGTGGACGATGGTGCGGATGTAATCGATTGCAGCGTTCAAATGTCGCAAGATGGAGTTGCTTTCTGTATGATTTCTCCAGACCTCACTGCAAGCACAACCGCAGCAACCATCTTCGTGGATCGCATCACTGATGTCAAAGAAATCCAAGAGGAATCGGGGATCTTCTCTTTCGCCTTGTCGTGGGACGAGATTCAGACGTTACAACGTAAAAAAAAAGAAAAAAAAAAGCCATTGACATTGTTCATTAGTCTCAAGCTTTTCTTAACTAACCATAAATGATCCATTCTTTCGTTTGTCACAGCTCAATTGTCGACCCCTTACGAGAAAAGCACAGGCCTGAAGAGAAACCCTCTGTTCCGAAACAAGGGCAAGTTTGTAACCCTTGCTCAGTTCTTGGATTTCGCCCGATCGAAATCTGTTACCGGCATTCTGATCAGCCTGGATGTAAGTTCACGAGACATTGCATCATTCATTTATGATAAGTCTTTTTTTTTTGTTGTGTAACATTAAAAATCTTACGATTTTACGATTTCGGCCAATTCTTACTGCAGAATGCGCCATACCTTGCGTCGAAAGGTCTAGATCTCGTCGCCACGGTCACCGCGGCCTTAACCAAGGCACAGTACGACAAGAAGTCCGGTCCGCAGGTGTTCATACAATCCGACGACACGTCCGTGCTGGCCAAATTCAAGAACTTCCCATCCTACAAAAGGATTCTCTCCATCAAGGAAGAAATCAGCTCCGTGAACAAGGCCGCCGTAGAGGAAATCAAGAAGAATGCCGATGGGGTCACCTTGACGAGATACTCCATCCTCCCCACCAACCCGCAAGGCTTCACGACGGTGGAAACCCCGATCGTCGAGACATTGCATAGCGCGAACCTGACGGTCTTCGTCTCCACCCTCAACAACGAGTACATCACGCTAGCGTTCGATTACTTCGCCGACCCGACGGTCGAGATCGCGACGTACACGCACACGGTCGGAGTCGACGGGTTCGTCACAGAGTACCCAAAGACCGCGAGCAGATACCAGAGTAAGTCTCTCTCTGGTACTGGCATCTGCCCGCACGTCGCAGGTTTTCAATAATGGATCTTATACCACATACTAACATACTACCGCCGCGCGGTCTAATATGTGTTGAATGGATCCAGGAAACCCATGCTCAGACATCAACCGCAGCTATATCATCCTCCCGGCCAGGCCTGGAAGTCTCTTGAACGAAACTCGCGCAGCACCAGCAGATCCTCCAAAACCAGCTCTCA